AATCGGAGTTAGGAAAACCTACATTCATCTGGGTTCATTATGGACTGATGATTCTTCAATTGAATTCGTACAAGTTTTCAATACTCGCTACAGTTCAGTAAGACAGGAACTACACAGCAGTCTACCCAAACCATTAAAAGCATGAAGGCATGAAAAATAAACTCAAATTCGAAAGAGGGTTGAAAAAATGTGTTGACTCAATTATGATGTGCTTCTACTTGAATGAGGAATAACCATTAGTAGAGGTGCTTTCCAGAGCGCATCACAAACAGATATCTCTCTTTCTCTCTCGTCCTCTCTCTCATTCTTCCTAACTCTTTCTTTCTCCACCTGGTTCTCCTTGTGGTAATATAGAATTGAAATTACTATTTTGTTTGCTGGCTATAATACAAGCTTGCTTAGGTAACCATAACTTTCATTAGTTCTCATAGGATTATGTAATCTCTAAATTTGATTCATCTACTTTTTTTCTTCTGTCATAGACGAATATGTCTAATAACTGAATTGAATGAATTTATTCACTTACTTACCTGACAATCCACAAAAAAAAATCTACTGTGGTAAATATGTAAACTTGGGAGTTCAGTTGCAATTTCATTTCATTTTACGATTCATTGAAATTAAATATTAGTTAGGTATCCTTCAAATTTCAAGAAACATCTAATACGCGAACAATAGTCTTTGATTTTATGAAATCCTGGATTGAATAAACAGTATTTTGAAAAGTATGCGTCAACTCTCTTTTTGAAAATGTGTATGAGCTCAATAAGTTCCGTATCTAAGTTTCCCTGCATTCCTGGTCAAATAATTGTGAATGTTTAATTGGAGGGTAAGTGTACCTTTCATTTTATGAATCTCTAGCAAAATCAATAGAATAAAACCGCAAGGTAAAAGTAAAACCTTTTAAATAATGAAGAGAGGTTGCATGGTTCAGTGAAAGAAACTCCAGATTTTATTCAGACAGTTTTTTTTGGTTGAAAGTTGCTATTAATATTCAGGTTATATACTCATTCGGTAACGAACAGTTTACAGTTTAAACTGTCGTCTATGAATATAAATTCGCTCACATAGGTAACGATGTTGAAGGGGTGTATAATAGCAGTTGGCGCTTGAGTCACGCTATTCATTCGACATAATCAAACCAAGCACAAAAATGTAAAGAAATTGCCGTGTCGCATAAACACAGTGATTGTTTTAATTAGGATTAATAATCGTTGGTTTATGGATAAAACCGAAATCGGGTCACTCACATAACGTTGTTGAAGGAAAAGTAACGCAAATGCGGTAATGCAATAGCCATTTTTTTCAAACCCTTTTCAATATTATACAGTGCACTTCTTTAATGGCCTCTTTCATTTTATGAAAGGGTCAACACAAAAAATTGAAATTTGGGATAATGAAATTAATGCATAAATACTCTATTCCGAAGTGAAATTGACAGATGAAACTTTCAAAATGGCGACTGGGCGCCATCTGGGAAAAATTGAATGGAACGGGGGGTCTTGTGACACATCTTTTTGAAGCTCGTGACAAATGCTTTATAACACTAGAATATAATGTCAATATCTTCAAATACTACAACATGGCGGAACTTTTAATAATTCCCTGAATACATTGGCATTTAACTAGATAATGTGAGGTAATAAGCTTGAGGTCAGTTCAGAAGATGTTTGCCTTGAACTTCCTGACATATGAACAGCTTATCCGATATTTCACGCCGAACATTTTGGAACACATTAACGTCAATATCTCTACAAATATTTATTATTCTCTGCCTTATATATGGTATTGAAGCAGGTTCAGTTTCGTTCACCGTTTGCTTCAAATAGCCCCATAAAAAAGTCCAAAGGTGTCAAATCTGGTGAGCGGGATAGCCATTCTGTAGGATCTCGAAGGCCAATCCCACGACCAGGAAAAGTAGTATCCAAATAGTTTTCTACTTGTCTGGAGTAATGTGGTGGTGCTCCAACTTGTTGAAATACAAGATCCATATCGAATTCATTAGGATTCGCTTCCACGATACCAATGATGAGAAGGTCACCAGCGGTTTCCAGCATATTCAAATACAGTTCTCCTGTTGAATAAATAGAGGTCCTACAATATGGTTTCCCAATATTCCTGCTAAAACGTTAATTTTTTTCTGAATATTGGGTATGTGTTTCCCGGAAAACGTGAGGGTTGGTGTCATCCCAATAACGGCAATTTTGTCTGTGAACATTGCCATTTGAAAAAAATGTTCATTCGTCTTCGTTCTTCGATCCGGGTCATTTTCAGTTAATTGGTGTACCATTTTAATTTTATATGGATGATATCTATTCCTCTTCAAAAGTCTCCATACCGTAGAAGGAGACACCTCACAAACATTCGCGACGGAATAAGTAGACTCTTCAGGATTACTACCATCTCAGCAATTATTTGCACTTGCTTCCGGAATGGACGGATGACCTGGGGGCTTTTTGTTATGTACACTACCGGTAGTTGTGGATTTGGATACAAGTTCACTAAAATATTTTCTTCAGATTGGACGATTCGGAAAACGTTCATTGAAAATCCTTTCGGTCTTGTGAAAGTTACGCATCGCACCGTAAATAAAAATCGAATTCTTTTTCCAATGGACGAGAATTGACGTGGTACCTTTCTACTAGTAAAACCGAAAACTGAATGAGAATATTCTAACTGAACAATGATGTTCATTGTCGTACTGACATTTTTTGTCTTTTTTATTAACAAAAAATAACCGTATGGGGTAGTTGGAATCGCCATATGACAGATAAAAAGGAATATTTCTAAAAATATCGATAATAATGTGTTTGTCTTCAGGAAATTATTAAATGTTCTGCCATTTTGTAGTACCTAGGTTAAGATATTGACTTCATATTGTAGGGTTGTGAAGTATTCGTCAGGAGCTTCAAAATGATGTGTCATAAGACTTTCTATTTGATTTTTTCCCAGATGGCGCCCAATCGCCATTTTGAAAGTTTAATCTGTCAATTTCACTTCAATATAAAGTTTTCATGCATTAATTTCATTATTTCAAATTTCAGAGTTGACCCGTACAGAAAATAAAAAGAGGGGGGAACATTAAAGAAATGCACTGTATAAAGTTCCTGAAGAAATTTATAGAAAATTATAAACCATATTTCCTTTTAATGCCACTTTCTTTACATTCTTTACTATATACGAAATAATTATTGGCTACATCAGTGGCTGACGGATACGTATTTTATTTGAGACTTTCTCGAAATAAACATTCCAAAAAATTGATAGTAATTTGACACTGGGATTTTTGTCATAATTTCACATAAAGAGCAAGTTAGAGAAATTGGTTCGTCAAACAGGATTGAATTGTTGCTTGTTTTGTTTAGTAAAGGGTGTATTTCTTTCAAAACAAATGTGAAATTTTTTTGTATCCATAGTTGGAATTTTAGATCTTGGAAAGTGTTTATTGATGGTGCTAGGAATCGCCTGTTGAAAGGTAAGACCACATTAATTCCTAGTTCGCACAAGTATCGACTGAAAGTGGTCGACAGTTACTTAACAAAATAATAAGAAATCGGATCAGATTTCCTTCATTTCAAGTAACACTGCCTTGTTGAATTTTCACTAACAGTTTACAAAACCAAAACACGTGTTCCACTTCATAACAGTGTCAAAACAAGCACTTTTTCCAGTCACCAGAAATGCAATACACTTCACGACGCGCGTATCACCCAGGAAGTTAGCATCTTCAGGAGATAAAGAAGTCAAATTCTACATAATTAGTATTTTATATAACATCTCAGCCAAAAGGGTAAGGGATCTGGGCTCCAACCTGAATGAACTCAAGACGACGTGCAAGTTATATAACATACTTAATCAAATAATATGAATCATTCTACCTACTCAGTGACTAATATAATTTCACTATGTGCTGATTTTAACATTAAAGGAGAAAATTTTACCAAGTCTTTTGATGGACATGTAATAAACTAATTATCAATGTCCACATTAGAAAACAGATTCTACAGAAGTTCAACTCTAGGTACTCTATCCTATGAAATTTCTTTTGTAATGTTTGGAAATTAGAAAAACATCAATTAGTTTATACCCAAAATTGGGTAAAATAGTCATAAGTAGGTGAAGTCACAAATGAATTTTGATATTTTATAAAAAAACATTATTTGAATTATATTCACGATAATGATAAATTGACTTCACTCATCAACATGGAAATGAATCGGCAAAGCACACTTCTATTTGTTCAAACCAAGTCGAAAAAGGGAAAAGAATACAATAAGTTTCATAACATGAACTAAATAACTAATTTATTGAATGATATTATCATGTAAATTACATGTTGATGTATTTCATAGATCTATTTATTGATGAATCCATATGCATACGTAAAAAAAGTATCCTCAGAAATGAATATGAGAATTATATAGTTAACGTGATATTTGATAGAAATGCAAATAGATACTGCTGTTTTGTGTTTTGGAAAAGCTTATAGATGAGTTTTATATTGAAAACTTTACAAAACTTTAAATATTTTTATCAAATAAGATGTTTCTGCGTTGAAGATTTTTAACGAGATTCGTAATTATCCTCTTCGTCTAGAGTTTCATTTGTGCGGCTGTCTTTGAAGTTAATTGCGATAATGAGGTCTACCAGGATATGGGGAGTATTTGCATTTCTTGTAGGTTTTCCGATGATTTGAAGTGAATAACAAATGTATCAACTATACCAACTGCTTTTCCTCTGGACAATTTATCGACATTCAAATTCCCGAAGATAACGATAACATCAAGTTTTTGGATAGTGCATGTAATGAGTATGGTTCAATGGAATTTTAGTTCTATTTTTAGAATATGGAAACAATGCCCTCAACTTAATGTGTTCCACCTACGTCAACAACTGTACTATATTTCAGTGTATCTCTGGATCTTCCATTCATCCTAAACATTTGGAAATCCCATTATATAACATGATGGGGTACTCATATTCATTGAACCACAATCAAGATATCGAATATTTCATTTTTTTTATAATGTAATAAAATCATTCCACGTCTTTGTTTCAGGGCTTCTATCATGGGAGATGAACACATGCTTGGTCGATCTGGAAAAAGAATTAGCTATCATAACGGAGCAAGCGTTAGAAGGAGAGGAAGCGAGATATGGTGAGTTGTAAAATAAAAATAGGTCTTTCAAAACGGTCGGCGTATTTTATTGTAGTACATTTGTATGTTGTCTTGTCAATAAAAGCATTTTGTAATGAGTGGAAGTAATTTGGATTTTTGAGGAGTCTGCTCTGACAATGAACCAATGTTATGTATCAAACCACATAATGCTTGTTCACTAGAGGAAATGAAACAACTACTAACTCGTAGATGAAATACATTCAGAATGTTAATGTAAGCGAATGGCATCCACCCCATTTCTCCTCGATCTTCACTGGTTCTCATATTTTTTGGTCCGTTCGTTCATCTCTTCAAGATGATTCATCTTTGTTTCCAGTACATTCTCTACATATAATAGCCCACATGATATCCTTGTGATTTTCAAGGGCGGATTCATATATAGAGGACCAATTCATTTATCTAGATCAAGTCACATAATCTCTCGATCACAACCATTTTCATCTTCTTTCAAGCATAGGGAAAATGTCTTTCCCTTTTAATATTACTTTAGTTGTACACCATCTCTTTATTGTAATTTCATTGCTGGATTGTTTTCTTATGTGATCGCAGTTATTTTTAGATTTTTCGTGAATTTAAAAAGTTTTCCTCATTCTCCAATTTTTTCACGAATTCGTTGTATGTAGATATAAAGTATTCATCAAATCATATGCGGATACTTCAGTTTTCGATATTGTAATTCCACTACTGTTTACAAAATCTCATTTTTCCTACAATTGTCTCAATTCGGGGACGATTCGTAAGAATTTATTCATTCTCTCTTCTAGTTTTCGATTTTCATAACAAACTAAACTTCATTTCGTTTTTTTTTTTCTACAGTATTTTTCTTCGCATGATGCTCTAGCACAACTAGATACCGACATAACCATAGGGCTCATCTCGGTATCCTTTGAATTGGCGATGCTCCAATCTGACTCTTCTGGAGTTTCCATCAATTTCACTAGGTTTTCAATTTTTGTCTCCTACTTCAGCAAAGTGTAGAGTTGAGGCTGTATTGTTAATATCACGTTTCCAAAACTTTCACGATCATTTCATATTCGTTTTGGCTGTTTTCTGTAATACGGGTACTTTTGAATATTTTAAACTCATTGCAAGGTACTTATAGTTGATCATTCTCACATTGATTTCAATTTAAGAGCCACCGGTAGACAGCTTTTACAGCCTATTGGGCATCGTCAATACCAGGCAGGCGGTTCTCGATTGAGGACAAAATGTGAATAACCGGGTCCGGGAAATAATTCAAGTATGAACGTTATTGAGTGTCTTGATATAGATACAGAAGATAATAATCGGATTTAGCACTCAAGATAGTGGCAAACCATAGACACGTGTTTCGGATGTCACGCAGGTAGCTATAGCTGCCTCCGTGGGGATTTTGATAGTTTTTTTGTAAACACAAGTGTTGCCCATCTATACATTTGGCTGAACCATACTGATGATGGGTCAAAGCATAAAGTAAGGTACATTTATTTAATTGCAATAGCTATTTTTTTTATTATAATTAATTTCCTTTTTGCCCTATTTTACGAGAACAAATCAACCAATTTCAGTTTTCTAAACGGGGTTGAGTGAGTGTTACAAGATAGGGGGTGCCATTTAAAATTATTAAATGGGGGTAGCTAGGGGTAAGGGGGTTAAACGTAAAATAACCACTGGCACTGGTTTTAAACTTCCCCCTCGATATCTAAATTGACGTGTTTTTTGCATTTTTGCATACGACAAATTCTCCCTGCTAAACGAAGTATCAGGGGTGAGAAATTTTGAAATGAATGCACTGTATAATAATTGATCAGAAATTATTATTTAATAACGGAATTAGTTAGCTCCCTAACTATATTATTAAAAAGGAACTGTTGGCCGTTTACTTGAACTATACCACGCTGGATACATCATTTAAGTAAGATATCTCACATATTAGTTTTCCATATGTTCGTCTTTCATCCAGACACAGGACCATGCTGAAATTATTCGAGTAGAGATCACCAACAGACAGTTTTCGAAGTTTCGATGTATTACCTCTCATCAGTGCAAGAAAGATCCGATCCAAACAGAAAAGTGCTTGGGTAGTTAGTTGGGTAGTCGGGAGACATGAATATTTCAATATTTCAAAATACTAATTTTCTAGTAAGTATTCATTCCTCTTGAATATTGGTACATGAGATGTTTTTTTCTCGCTTGGGGCTTTGTTCACGAGATGGAGGTGTTAAACAATATTTCACACATGCAGTCGTGCAGCGTTGGAATTAGTCAAGTCCCAGGCACTTTGCTAATCAGGTTAAGTTTTTCCTGTACTGGTGAGAAGTAACACCTGAAAACCGGTGATCTCGAATAATTTCACCATGTTCCTGCTGCTAGATGAATGAGTAATACCTGCGAGACTAACCTCTCTGAGGTATCTTGCATTAATATCTGTCGGATATAATTTAATATCCAGCGTGGTATCAGCCGGGGAAGTAGTTGTTTTTCGGTAGGCATTTAACAGAACCTGTGTAGGTAGTTGAGAATATTTCCAGACTTTATTTCATACTACACCAAAGGTTCTAAACACTACATCACAAGTTCCTAGATAATGTTTATACCTTTTTGAAACGATGGGATAAGTGCAGTTTGTGTTAAAATGTATGTGCATAAAATATATTTAACACGTACAAAGTTCGACAGAAAGAATATCATGTATATGTAAGAAAGTTAAAATCGATACAAATACGACAATAGAAAATCAGACTCACAATGTTCGATGTCTAGACTCACGACTGAATTGTAGCGTCGTGGAGCCTCCGTCTATGAAGTAAGGAGATTAAACTTTTTCTTCGAAAAACATTTTGCCACATCACGAGATGCCTGAATTTATTTTATTTCACTGTGATATAGAAGTAGATAAATTCCAGCTTTCCATTTTTTTCCGCTTCACTGGTTCAGTGGGAGATGACCATTTGGCAGGAGTTGGCCATTTTTCGCTTGATGATGGGTTTCCATATGTTGCGTATTTCTACGCTGGCTTGGCTGAATACGTTGTTGGACAACATGTATGCGGCTTCCTTGAATTTTTTCCTAAACCAACGTTCCTCTCTGTGTAAGATCTTAGCTTGGGACCACTCGATATTGTGTTGATGGGTCCAAACATGGTCTGCTATTCCTGATTTTCTGGTTTCCCCTCGCTGTGTGTGTTTCATGTGCTCGGCAATGCGAACATTCAATGGCCTCTTAGTTTCACCAATATAGGACTTTCCGCACTCACAGGGTATCCGGTAAATGCAATTCTATGAATCGCAGTCCGCGTTTAGTGGCCTGGTTTTCGTGAGGCTGCTACACATAGTGTTACCGGATTTGAAGCAGGTTCTGATGTTGTACTTGGAACGAATTCTGATGTAGGGAAGTGCAAGCACTGGTTGTGACGGCTTCTCTCACTTGCTAGGCTCCTGATATCTTTTCTACCATCGCTTTGGAGTAGCCATTCCGTTGAAGATTATTTTTGATGATGTCTAGTTGCTTCTCGAGACCTTCCTTCGTGTTACAGACTCCGAAAGCACAGTCTAATAGAGTCTTGATGATTCCTCTTTTAGTTGATTGATGGTGGTTAGATTCGTGGTTCAGATACTGTCCCGTGTGAGTGGGTTTTCGGTATACAGATGTTTCCCACTTAGTGTCGGTCCTCTTCACCAAAACGTCTAAGAATGGCATTTCGTTTTGGATTTCCTTCTCCATTGTGAAAGTGATGAAAGGTCTCACGCTGTTGATGTGTTTCAGTGATTCGTGATGTGATTCGTTGAGTTCAGTATTCCCATGGTTCCATATTATGAAGGTGTTGTCAAGATATCTCAACCAGACTCGGGGTTTCATGGGGGCTTCTTCACTGGCCAAAATTTCAAACCACTCCATATATATGTTGGCTATGACTGGTGAAAGTGGCGATCCCATTGGCAGTCCCTCATCTTGTGTTCGTCCTTCAATTGGAAATAACAGTTTCGTACACAGCATCCTAGTAATTCCATAATTACTTCAAAAGGTAGATTCGTTCTCTCTTTCAGGTTCCCGTCTTCGGATAGCTTTTTCTGTATGATTTGGAGTGCTTCTTCGACCGGAACGTTGGTATAAAGGCTTTCCACGTCGAAACTAATTAGTTGATCTTCCTGTGTGACTTCAATAGACCCTAGTAGTTCGACAAAATGCCTTGAATTCTTCGCAAAAGACGATGTTTTTCCTTGTAACGGTTGTATTATGGGAAGTAAAAATCTAGACAAGTTTCGAGTAGCCGAATCTCTGGAGCTAATGATCGGTCTAAGCGGAACGTCCTTCTTGTGGATTTTGGGTATTCCATACAAGTCAGGAGGCCTACAATGGTGCGGTGTTAGCGATGATCTTTCTTCGTCCGAAAAATAGACTTGGTGTTTTTTCAAAATTTGGTACAACTTCCTTTAAATTGATGCAGTAGGGTCCCATACCGGTCTTTGTGTATCGTCCCTTCTGAAAAACCTCTTCGATCTTCTGTTCGTAGAGAATAGTATCCATCACCACAGTAGCGTTTCCTTCATCTGCAGGTAGGATCTTGATGGTGTTGTCTCTACGTTCAGGGCTCTACGTTCTTCACTGCTGATATTAGATGTTGAAACTGGTTTTCGATCCAGCTGTTCTCTGATTTTCCATCTAAATTCTTCTGTCTCGGTCTGGTCAAAAAGGGAACTCATGGATTCCACTGCAGTAATTATCCCCAAAGTGGGCACAGATGTTGGCGCAATGGCGTAATTTATGTCTTTTCTCAACAAGGATTCTTCTATTCCCGTGAGCGGGCGGGAGCTCATGTTGATGACGTTGGCGATGACGTTGGTACTCGAACGACCCATAAATAGTCATCTCTCGGAGGAATCAGTCCAGTCATCACCCAAAAACGATTGTGAATACTAACAATCGAAACGTCGTGAACTAACTTAGCTTGACTTTGTCATTTTATTTTTATCTTAACTAGTAAAATTCATCATGAAACATTGTCAATCATCTTCAAACAAACTCAAAAAATACAGCTATTTATTTTAATTCTTCTTTTTTAGTTGTTTCAGTGATTTCAAATCATTTTATATATTAGACAATGGAAGTCCGAACTAGTAAAATTCATCATGAAACATTGTCAATCACCTTCAAACAAACTCAAAGAATATTGTGCGAAAACAATAATATGAATTTCAATGCCAATACATATTTTGTAATGTCTTTCTCAACGGCAAAGACGCTTGTTTTCTCATATCCGATTAATTGTAGACACTTATCGCAAGTTGATCAAATGAAATATCTTGGTATCAGAAATCACTCCAAAATCGTATAAAATTTCATAGGACTTCATACATCTCAGAGTATTTGAATGGGAAGGGTTATATTTTTAGAAATGACTAGTTTTTGGAAAAGAAAGTTTTTGGATTTATACTACTCCATCTTGATACAATATGGATAACATTATACCAAAAAACACACCTATCATTCATGAATTAAGATTTTTATGTCACGGATTAAGTTTGATCCACTTATGTCATCGATGACATTGTAATGACACTCATTCACCTATTTGATTAAAATCCCAGCCAAGAGGAATCTTGTTTAAATAGGAAGGGTTATATTTTGAGGAGTGACTAATTTCTGGGAAAAAAAGGTTTTGGCTTTCTACTACTCCATCTTCATACAAAAAAAATTGTGGGAATCTTGCAAAGAAAGGAAGGAATTAATCAATTTCAAAATGAGTAACTCTATACATGGATGTGTAGATCATGCAAAGAAGAAACCTTCAGACACAAACTGGAAGGAAAAGCCCTCCTGAAACAGCTACTTTTATATAAACATTGAATTACACGAAAGAAAAATTCTTTCGGAACAAATACTTTCATATGAACACTGAATTATACAAAAGACACCATTCTCTACTCAGTTGGTATTCCAAACATTCGTTATGGAATGAAATCAGGTATCATTCACAGGAGTTCTACATTAAATGAACGGTGAAAAATTGCACTTACATGGAACACTGCCATCCTCACTGGTAGACATCGATGTTTCGCCGTAAGACACTTGCCTTAGAACTCTTCAGTACCAATATGGGTAACATTATACGAAAAAACATAATTCATTATGTCACGGATTAAGTTTGATCTACTTATGTCATCGATCACATCGTAATGACACTCATTCACCTATTTGATTGAAATCCCAGTCAATAGGAATCTTGTTTAAATAGAAAGGGTTATATTTTGAGGAGTGACTAATTTTTGGGAAAGAAAGTTTTTGGTTCTCTACTACTCTATCTTGATACAAAAAAAAGTGGAATCTTCCAAAAAAAGGAAGGAAGTAATCAATTTGAAATGAGTAACTCTATACATGGATGTGTAGATCATGCGAAGAAGTAACTTTCAGTAACAGAACTTATAATTATTCTGTAACTATTTCCAGATGTTCCTAAATATACAGTTCTGGTGTTATATTTCATGATATCCTAAGGATAACTGTGAGATATTATATGTGAGAATAAAATGATCACAAGCATGATCTGACAAGATCCATGTTTAATCTTCTAGACAGGCCCCAGATGTCATTGAACTAGCCCAATCTGGTTACTAACATATCTGGTTGTTCCCGTTTGTCCTTGTGATATTTGCAGGACATCCTGCAGAAGTTCTAGAAAGTCATATGATAAACAAGATTGGAGTATCCGCCAATATCATAAAAATGATTTGACGTTCTTTAATGGTACCAAAATAATTCCATATATGTCATCAGATTTCATAAGTTATAATTGGATTTTCGAATTCTGTATTCAATTATGTCAATGAATAATCCACTTAAAAAAATACTGACTCATTTCTCCCATTCTATTTCAAAATGTTTGAGTGCAAGCCGGTAATTTTAAGAAAATTGTAAAGGAGGCTAACGGTGTCATGTCGAATTGTGTCCTTTTCAGATAAAAATTTGGATGTTCACAACTTTTCTCAACAATTGGCAGTAATGTGAATAACTGATTTTTATAAAGTATGAAACACATTAAGTCTTGATGATATATTCAATCTAAAAACATGAAAAGAAATTGATTTTTGAAATATTGAAATATTTACTAATGTAATGTTTTTGTATTATCAGGTGAACGTCTTATCCAATTCGCTTCCGAAAATCTAGTCACTGAAATCCTCATACATCCTGTGGTGAGCACATTAGCGCAGTGCATGAGAAATTTACTGAGCAGTTTCACAAGACACCGACATATAATTCACTCCGGATACACGTTCGCTGCTAACGGATCCTGGGCTCTTCAGGTAACTGACAACGATTCTAAAATTTTGTTTTTTATAGTCTATGAGCCAGAAGGTGCATCAAAGGTTAGTTCTTTCGGAAAGTGTTTGAGAATCTTAATGAAGTGAACTACCAATATCCACAGTTTTCAGATGTTTTTGGCGACTTTCTCAAGTTAGGACTTTCTTTGTGCGAAATGCTGCTAGCAGGTTCGGAATCTATGGAAGAACAAGTGAAATAAAATGGAATTAAATATTAGAATTATTGAAAATTCTAAAAATCGAACAAAAATATTTGATTGAGTGTATTTAAAAATTAAAATGAGAAGAAAAATACCAAACCAAGTTTCCATCTTAATATCCACAGGCTAAAGGTCACGTGGGCGCTTCAACCTCTCCCCATTTCCTCTCTCTCTCCTTTTTGGTTTGGTGAACTGTTGGACTCTTTTCCCGCTGTAATAGAGGTTTCCATATATGTTGCGTTTCTCCACACCAGATTGGCTGAATACGTCGTTGGTCAATATGTATGCAGCTTATTCGAACTTTCTCTAAAACCAGTGTTCCTTCCTGTGAATGATCCCAGCTTTGAACCACTTGAATTTATGTTGATGAGTCCAAACATGCTCCGCTATCTCCAATTTGCTGGTATCAAATGAGATAATTATGACGGACACTTGCGCTGATTTAATGGTAAACGGTTGAATTGGTCTCATTTACAGAAATTACTAAAAGATGATGATTCTGAACAACATATCGGAAATATTCATTATTTGATTCATAACAAGTTTGGTCGAATGATCACTGCCTGGGGACCTGATAGAGTCTTACAAAATACTACGTTGATATTATAATATTAAACAACCTCTTGGTTATCAATAGAAGTGAGCAGTTAGGCAGACACAATTAAAAACTCGCGCGAGAAGAGTTCTAAAAGATGTGCTCTCAACATTTTCTCTTTGATGGAATGCATAGCAATTGGAATGTGATAACAACTGTCTTCACGAAGACGCCATGTACGTGGTCATCTATATTATAGAAACTCAAACCATGACTATCGAACACAAATGACATCAGCAGCGGACCAGTTTCACTTTCTGCTTCTATTTACAGCTTCCACAGCGGAGACAACTAGATGACAGCAGAACCCAATAGCGTTGTATCATCCAATGCAGATAGTTTTGACCTGTATCCCTGACCCTCTCAATAGTATCGATAAAAAACTCAGACTACGAACACTACAGATAATCGAGGGTCCCAACGGCGATCCGTTGCATAACCATAGTTCGAAATCGATTACTGAAAGCCGTTTGCTTCCTGGGATCTGGTATCATCTAGTTATCCTTGCACTTAAGGTTTCCAAGAAGGAAAGATAGCAAACTTCACTGAAAGAATCACGTCACGATATTCCGTTGTTATGACCCTCGTATATCTTTAGTATTCGTGGTCTAAGTTTTCTGTTGATCCCATAAATATCGTCTTGGTGAGCGCTATAAGTACTTATTCTGGTTTGTTCTGCATACAACATAGTGATCTAGTGTAGTACTTCAAAACAGGGTTGAAACTATCTGGTATTGGATAATGAATCCAAAGCTTTTGTGTTTTGGAAAAAAGTAAAATAAGTATTTCTGGAGAAACTGCATTCTCCTTTTTTTCCCTGGATTCATAAACTTCATCTTCTGATAGAGCATATGCAAAGCTCATGAACATTTCGTCAAATATTGGTAACGATAGTAGCCAGGGACGGGTTTTATGAAGGTAGTTCCGTAGTTAGTTACGCCAAGAGAGTGAACGTCAAAACCTCATTCATTATGTCAAAGGTTCATTTTGTCTCACGCCTATAAAGTCCAGCTTCTTAACGAAACAGATTAGCTTATTTGGCGATTGATATTTGGGGTCAGATGGCAAGACTGAAATTTCACTAAACTCTGAAAAACTTATTCGACACGCAGAGAGGCGAGCAAAAAGTATAGGCTGTGATGATTCATCATTTTATAAATCAATAATTGTCAATAATCAACAGATGAATAACCTATTTTTCTAGAAGTTATATTGTATTGTAATTGTCCACGATAGGTATTCACAATGAATATTTGGAATTTTTTAAGTCGATATGACCCTTGTATAAACATGTAATGAAGAGTAAAATAAATCCAAAACTAGCACGGTTTCTACTGTGCTTGTTTCGGCACCACCAGTTACTGTTCGAAAACTATTGTGGATACTAACAATCAAAACGTCTTAGAGTTACTTGGTTTGAAAACGTCATCTTCTTATTTCATTTTTTAAATATTTCCTTATCTTATCTTGATTATTCATTTTTATTGTATTTTCATTTCACTTTTATTTCAAGCCATCATCAATTTACTGTCATTTCAGGTAACAACAATTTGTTTATTTCACAAATTACAATTTTTGTTAACACAATCGAACATTTTTGTCGGGTTATTTTCAGTTTCTCCCAATTTTTTCTTCTATGAATTCCGAACCTGTTAACTGCTAACCGAATTTGTAACATTCATCAAGATTGAAATTGTTATTGGACATTAAATAATAACGTTCTGGAGATGCATATAATCATAATGTTATTTCAGGATGGTACATTTTCGTGTGCAGACTTTTCAGAGGCTTTTCAAGAAATCGACGTTCAACGAGTTATACACGCCTACGAAAATGGGATCTCTCTGGACCTTCACTGTTCCCCAGAGGGGGATTGGACTCGACTTCCCAAAGAACCGTTCGCAAAGGCATGCAGAGTACGTATCAATCCCTCCGACGTTCTCACTTCTGGATCACCAGCGATTGCCAATTTTACTAAATACCTTGCTCCGTTTCTTGTGCCAACATCACTGGAAAATCTGCTGGAAAGTTCAGATGTGGTGGGCAACATTCGGTTTTCGAGGCCTACGTTAAGAAACCCATCTTCTGCTGCAATTACATTTCATACCAGTTGTCATTTTGTTCATTATAACGCGATGTTCAGGAAAAAATATAATTCGATTTAAAAGTTTGAAATGATAACCTACCTCTTGGTAATGACTTCATAGAAGGTTGTAGGAACCTGAAAAAAGATTGTACTACTATTGTACTACTATTTCTTGTGAAATATAATTCATCCATTACTTTACCAAAGTATTATGTGAATGGAGAAATACTTGTTTTCAGAATATCACTTCAATTTTTTTTCTTGAATACGCCGGATATTTGTAAGAAAGTTATATGTACCAGACATTCAAATTCAACTACCTAGAACATAATGGCAACGGAAGTACCTCAGTATATGGTGTATGATAATGCATTTTTTCAGTTTAATACTACCACTGAAAATAATATCAAATTCTAAATTTTGTTGCTTCAATACTTTTGATCAAATAAGACGTATTTTCATTTCCATCTTTATGCAAAAAAATTTGGGAATCTTTCAAAGAAATTTTATACAATTATACGACAACCACTTTTCTCTATTCAGTTTGTATTCCAAACATTTGTTATGGAATTGAATCAGATATTATTCACAGGATTACTACACAATATAGTGAATGAAAGAGAGAAAATTTCACTCAAATGGTGAGACGGTAGCCTGGTGGGTTGACGTGGGTGATTTGTTCTACTCACGCAATCCTCCGCTGTGCGAACCTGTGGTTCGAACCACAAGGCCGGACGATTGATTTTTACTTTCTATCGTCCAGCCAGTGTTAGGAATCACACGCGATAGTTAAGACCTTGTTAGTCCTTAGCTCGCACAAGTTTCGACTTTTGAGAGTTGTCGTTCGTAGGAGGCGACAGCTGGCTAACGGAAAAACAGATTTTAACAGATTTTTTTAACTGTCATCCTCATTGGTGGACATTCAGTGTTTCGCCGTAAGACACTTGCCTTATCGGCTCTTCAGCACCAAATTTGGAAAGCATTATAAAAAAAGGCACTCAATTCATTCCTAAAAGTGTGACTTCATGTCATGAATGAGAATAATCTACTCATTCGCTTATTTAATTGAATCCCAGCTGTAGGAATCTTGGAAGATTTCCACATTTTTTTTTGTATAAAGATGGAGAAAGAAAGCTAAAATCTTTCTTTCCCAAATATTCTCCTGTCCGATATTGATACCTATTATATTGTGGTGCGCTTTTCTCAGAAACACAGATAAGTTTATGGGAACTCCAGATACCTTGGTATCCCAGATACCGTTACCATACATTCTTCGACATGGGTAGCTCAACACCACTATTCTAGGTCCCATTTTCAGTTGCGTTTTACAAAATGTATGGCATATCGTGGAATAATACCAAACCCCGATACCGTTGAGAAAAATATCGCTACTGGTGAGCCGTCTGGTTTGTCCATATCTTTCTATCATCTGAAAAAAATTGCAGTCTCGTGGGCTCATTACATTTTTTCTCAAATTTTTTTCATGACACCTTTTCCAACCATCTTATATCTGAACTGGGTTGTACAGCCTGTTTATTGGACGTTTGCTATATTGTTATGCATATGGCAATATTGGGATATCATTATAATGTATGTTTTTTATTGACCTGTTTGTTGATCTGATCCCGTACCTCAGATTTTAGCACTTCTTATAGAGCCAATAGTGTTTATTGACCTGTTTGTTTATCTGATCCCGTACCACAAATTTTACAGCTGGTATAGAGCCAATATCTGTATATAATAATGAATATATTTTTGAATTCTTCGAGATCCACAATGTCATAACCGACAGAAAATATGGATTCATTAAAGGATCAAACAAAGAAAATGCAATACTTGATTTTCTAGAGCACACAGTAAAAGCCATGGACGAATCAACGAAGTGCCTTGTGGTCTTCCTTGATCTCGCCAAAGCTTTCGATACTGTTTCCCATAGCAAAATGCTCAAAATATGGTATACCTACGCGGCTCAGTACTTGACCTTTCGAAGAATTATTTATCTAAGAGATACCAAGTAATGAAAATTGGAAAATAAATTAGCTCAGAGTTAAAGGTCAAAATAGGAGTACCACAAGGAACATTATTGGGTCCGATATTGTTTTTTGTTTATATGAACAGTATTGCTCAGGTGAATGAATTTATGGGACGTCTAATATGTTATGTAGATGACACAGCTCTAATTATCACAGGTGAGAATTGGAAAGAAGTAAATTATAAAGCAGAGTCGAGTTTGAAAAAAGTATTACTATGGTCAAACCACAATTCACTGAGTTTGAACATCAAGAAAACCAAATACATAACTTTCTCCCCATCCATAGTTGATCAACCATCTCAATTTATTCTTAAAATACATACTCTCACCTATGATAACGATACATGCAGTTGTCCAATTTTGAATAAAAACCTCATCGATAAAATACTTAGGTATTATAAAAGACTAACACATACGCTGGTCTGAACACATATCCCATGTGACAAAAAGGATAAAAGCATTAAGTCACAAATTTTATATCCTGAGAGACATTCTCTCAAGAAAAAACATGATTATTTTGTACAATAGTCTCGCTGAATCAATCATAAGATACTGCATAGTCGCATGGGGTGGTGCTTTCATTACCACGTTACAATCTTTACAGACAGCACAAAACATCTTGATTACGATCATATTAAAGAAAAATAGATTATTCTCTACTCTATTACTCTGTAAAGATACCAACCTGCTCAATACATAAACACTCTTCATTTTTCAATCATTAGATACTAAGAATGAAAAGTACGCATAAAAAATTCACAGTGAAAATAACAAGGACGACCAGATCGACTCTCAACAATAACCTTTGAGTTGACTCTTTCAAAAAATCTTTGACCCAAAGATCATTTACGTATTTCGGTCCAAAATTTTTCAACCTTATCCCACCCGACCTAAGAGAAATAAATAGTCCCAAAACTTTCAAAATACAAGTGAAAAAATGTATATTACCAAACCTCGATGAATTTTAATCAATTTCCTATAAATGAAATTTAGTAAAAGCATTTTTATTCTTTTGATTCCGTGATGCACCTAAAAAGCATAAAAGAAAGACCAATCCCTATTATCTCCGTTGGTTCTTCCTCATTATTACAAGATTTTTTTTTTGATTGATTATATAATCCATACTCGCAACTAATTTACATATAAAACAAATTTGAAAGCAACTGGAAGGGTGCCGAAATGCAAAACAGGCATCTCTGCCTAGGCAATTTCTGCTTCTAAACCAGATGCTTCTATATAGCAGTAACCAAAATATATGTTTTGTTATCAAAAAGGTTAATGAATTGAATTGAATTATGAAAATAACAATATATCGGCCTACAACGAAATAAATTTTAAACATATCATTAGTAAAATACAACATGAGTTATTACTGAAAAGAAGTATAAATATGTACATACAGAGAAATGATCGCATATCTATATATCTTTTGAAATGAATGAAGACTATGAAGAGGTTCCCCAGATATTATATATGTTATAAACATTGGGAAAACCTTGCGGTTGTGCATGAAAATTTGTTACTGTTTAATCACCATAAATCTTCGATAACTTTCAATTCACATTCATTAGCTAATTTTCATGCATATAGTCTAGAAATTTATAAAATCTGTAAGCTATACGCTGTCTGTTCTATAATTAAAGTGTATTTTCATTTTTCTCAAAAATTATTTATTTATTCATCAGTTTCTATTTTGTCCTTTTCAAAGAAGTCCCCCTCAAATATAATTCACTTGTTACGGCATTTGTTTTAATCCTTCGAAGCAGTTCTGATATGCCTTTGAGCTTTCTGAGCGATTTGTTTTTGTATCTGCTCAATCGTCGCAAAACGCCGTTTTTTCATGGGGCTCTCAAATCTGAGGAAAGAGTCGCAGGGGCCAAATCTGGTAATAACGGTGGCTAAGGCATGATTACGGTGGTGTTTTGACAAAAAAATTACAAACAAGCAATGACGAGCGAGCAGGTGCAGAAGCCACGAATTGTTTTTACGCAATACCGGACGTTTTCTTTGTATTGCTTCTCGCAAGCGGCGTATAACTTCAAGATAGTACTCCTTATTGGCTTTACGAACTTGTGCCAAATACCCTCGATGCACTTTTTGCACTTTTGAGCATATCTGTATCGCCGTTGACGTCATTCAACAATTCCTGAGCGATGCGCATGCGAAGGTTTTCTTGATGAAAATTTTGCAATTTGGGAACGAGTTTCGCTGCCACGCGCTTCATGCCCAAAATTTTCGAAAATATTACACGGCATGAGCAAACCGGTATGCCGACATCCTCAGCCACTTCTCTAATAGTGATTCGACGATCCTCCGTAACAATTTTCTTCACTTTCTGAACATTTTCATCGGTTGTTGATGTGCTGGGGTGTCCAGGGCGAGCGTCATCATTCACATCTACTCGACCTTCCGTGAAAAGCTTGTACCACTTTTTTCTGACTCAGAGTATAATCACTGTATACAACTATCAACATTACGAATGTTTTTGAGCACTCAATTCCAAATCTAAAGAAATGAACTTTAAACGTTCAAGCCAGTCTCGTAAATTGAATGTACTGATGCCTATCAGAAAACTACTACTTCCCTGGCTAATACCACAAAGGAAGTTGGATTATATCAGACAGGCGTCAGTGCAGGAATCTTCACAGAAAATTTCCTTCATATGCAGTTGGCAATACAACTGAAAGAGTCGACCTTCAATTTTGGAACGGGCACACTTGCAGACCGGTTTCGGGCTCATTAGCCACTCATCAGTGCAAGATAGTGGCAATCATCGACCTAAAGTCAATGATATTCCATAAATGAAAATCTGAATTCTTTCAGAGTATTTCATTCCTGTTCCTAAGTTGGAGCGAACAACAAAATTTCACTCCATCTAGTGGACGAGGTACTTACCGACTAACTGCATATCCATAATTTGCCCGATTCCTCTGAATAAGGAAGAAAAGCTTTCTTATTAGTCAGTGGACTATGTTTGAAAGCTGGGAGAAAACAAATCTAAAGAAATGAACTTTAAACGTTCAAGTCAGTCTCGAATATACCTACACAGTAGGTTGAATGGACTGACGCCTATCAGAATACAACTACTCCCCTGGCTAATACCACGAAGGGCGTTGGATTATATCCGACTGGCGTCAGAGCAGGAATCTTCACAGAAAATTTCTCGCATATGCAATTGGCAATACAACTAAAAGAGTCGACCCTCAATTTTGGAACGGGCACACTTGCAAACCGGTTTCGGGCTCATTAGCTACTTATCAGTGCAAAACCTAACAATGATATTCCATATTCAGTTGTATTGCCAATTGCATATGCAGGAAATTTTCTGTGAAGATTCCTGCACTGACGCCTGTCGGATATAACCCAAGGCCCTTCGTGGTATTATCCAGGGGAGTAGTTGTTTTCTGATAGGCGTCAGTCCATTCAGCCTACTGTGTAGGTATATTCGAGACTGGCTTGAACGTTTGAAGTTCATTTCTTTAGATTTGTTTACTGCCAGTCTTCAAGCATAGCCCACTGACACTTAGAAACTTAATTCCATTTTCCACAAAACATTTTATGCAAATTCTTTGATTAATTTCTTTTGATAGCAGAAAATCGCCAAACCGCAAAACACTCCTAATTTGTAGGTATGCCTCTCACTAACAAACTAAATATGCTAAATAGCTGAAACACTGAATATATTTTCGAGTGTACCTACTTAAAAAAATTAAAAATTTGAACACTCACCTTATTTTTTGAACAGTCTACGTATATGTGTAACATTGTTGCCTCATCAGTTTTTCTGGTACAAATATTTATATGTACTCATTTTTACTTATGCATTTACTTCATGCATTCCCAGCTTGTAATGTATTAGTATAGTACCCGAGATCCCACAAGAGCATAGTATAAAATTTTTAGGTAACGATTATATCAAGGCCGTATAATCTCTATAATAATGGTCTCAAACTTTTGGTTCACTCAACAGTGTAGTGATTTCATTTTGAATGACAATCCACAATAACCTCTTGGAGCTCATGGTCCATGTTTAGCAAACTCATCAGTTGTATTAAATTTTGTGATTTCTCAGTGTACAGGAAGTTGAACTGTCGATACTATAAAACTTATAACAATTAGTAGAATCACTGGAATTACTATTTTGAATTATCTAACCATGTATCATTATTATCGGAAATATTTCTGTGTAATTGTTTAAATTCGTTTTTAATTAGACCTTTATTACTTTTTTCTCGAATAGTGATGCAAATCAGGAGATTTATTTTTATGAATCTTTTTCATAAAATTTAACCAGGAATCAACCTTTGAATTGATATAGTCATTATTTATGAGACACCCTATATATGCAGAAATACATTATATGCCATTCCACAACTATTTGCAAAAAACATAGCGACAATAAAATACAACATTAGTTGTATTCCATGATGTAAGTATGTATGATGTTGTATGATGAAAAGTTTTTCAGTTCGATATCTTTCATTGTGTCAATTAAACTGTTTTATTCAACAGTACAATTGACACAATGAAATTGATGATCTGTCTTCTCATTCACTTTTATAACTCACAAGTTCTGTTTCTCTTGTAAAATATTGAATTATGAAGCTCTTTATAATATATCAGAGTAAGATTTTGTTTTCCAGTTTATTCACTGTACCTACCAGAAAAAAAAATAAATGAAGATATGTACATTACAGGTGATGCGGCTCTTTTTGGCATAAATGGCTTCAACATGCTCCTAGATGGTGGATTTTCGAGGAAGGCCTGTTTTTGGGATTTTGTGAGACATTTAGATAGATTAGACGCTGTGCTTATGACAAGACTGAATAATAGTAATGTAGGCGGCATTAGTTCTGTATTGAGAAGGAAGAAGCAAGATGCAGTATACCCCCAATTAGGACACTTTTTTTGTAATATACAGGTAATTATGTCATCAGTCACGCATCGTTCATGTCAGTGAGATAGGAAATGGGTTGAAAATTATGTATTCAGAAGCGACTTGATGAAAACAAATTTTTTCGGTTCTGAAGATATTGATAAAAACGTACTAACAGATTGATTTGAGTTTTCCTCCTGCCTCTGTTATTTCTTGGAATGAAGTACTAAGATTTTATTTGAGGCTTCAATTTTAAATCCGACATTTTGTATTCACTGATATATGTTCGAAACACGGACCCGAACATTTCGAAGTGTTCGATGTGTTCATCTCGAAATCCTAGATGCACGGGAGCTTGATTTTCAGATATCTACACATGTGAAAATCATGTTATTTTGAGTTTGGGTACATAGAAGGTCATTTAACTAGATCTCTTATTTTAACATACCAATTCGTAATTTTTCAACCCAGGATTCATTGGGTGAATTTCATGGCACCAACATTGAAGATGAATATCACAATATTTTGATATCTGTTCTCTTTCCGGAACCAAATCTCTATACCTTCATTTACTTTGCGGAATTTTCTGTTCAGGTGAATTAATGTATATGGGTTTTCTCTTTCGTCATGGCAGTTCATTCATATAACTTCAATTCTTGAATGAATGAATAACAAGACGTTTTTTACATAATGTGAAAAATTCTGATATCTCATTTATTCATTTAACTGCAAATGATGAAACAGGAATAAGGAATCATTTGAAATAAAAGGAAGGAAACATGAATCATTGGTGACCGAATGTATTAATTTGCTTTGTTCACTGAAAATAAAAAAAAAAGTCATTTTTCATTTTCGAGAACTGTAACGAAATATCTCCTGACCCTCAACAAATATTTCATCAGTTTTTCAAAGTTACTCTCATATAAAATTAGTTGGCTTAATGTAACTGATATTTCATTTTATGTCAATGAATTCAGGATAAGAACTATAATGGAAAACGCCATAAAATATCTATGTCTTATATAAAAAATATTGCTGGGAGAATACTAAATCTATTGGTACATCCAGGGAAAATATGTGTTCTGGAGTGAAAACTCTTGATGACAACTTTTGATATTCAAAACAAAGCAAAAAATGAATAGGTTTCAGTTTTTTCGCAATACCTCTACAATCGGACATGATATTTTCGAATAGTTTTGAACAATACTTGAATTTACCGGCTTTTAATTCTACCCTTAAAACGATACCAGTATAATGCTATCGAAAATGTGGCCACCAGGAATGTGTCAAATCAGAAACTTGGATCCAAATAATTAATATTTTTCAATAACTAGGTTGATTTAATTTCAGTAATATTCATAAAATTCAATATCAAATAGAAAGGTATTTATAACTTATATGATTCATTTTCATGATGAATCGCATGATATATCTACGTATATGTGTAACATTGTTGCCTCATCAGTTTTTTTGGTACAAATCTTTATATGTATTCATTTTTACTTATGCATTTACTTCATGCATTCCCAGCTTGTAATATATTAGTATAGTACCCGAGATCCCACAAGAGCATAGTATAAAATTTTTAGGTAACGGGCCTTATAATCTCTATAATAATGGTCTCAAACTTTTGGTTCACTCAACAGTGGATATATCAAATATATAATGCTGTCACTATGTTAAATATGACATAGTGTCAGACACCATGATAGTTATTTTCAGAGTCAGAAACGTAATCCATAGAAATGGAGGTGAATATTTCATTTATGTTTTATATTACCAAGAATTGACAATAAAAGATATCATTTGCAAAAAAAGGGAATAACGGGTTTTATGTAAAACGGAGTGCAAAAAACAAACTTGCTGTTTTTTTTACAATACGTCACTTTCGTCTTGATAATAAGGCTTCAGGTCCAACCTACTTTCGTCCTGATATTAAGACCACTTCAGGACTAAGTGGATTGAGAAAATGTACCTCATAACTGATAATTATATTTTTTTTTTATAAAATCTGACATCATATCAGATATGTACTTCAGGCAATGGCACAAATTACTTTTATTTTAATTTTTTTTATTGAACGGCCACTCATATAATGAAACAATTATTTTTATTTTTTTTTCCAGAAATACCTATTCACTTTTTGTAGATGAACCTTTATTATCGCTCTTCAGTGATGATGGTTTGACTTTGTTCTTTTCCAAGTCGAAAGGCAATTCCATTTCTTGCTCCTTGTCCTTCGATTCTTTGGCACACATAATTTTTTGTATTTTATCTTGTTTTATTGACGCAGAAATACAAATTTTTGTCATGAACAAATACTATAGCCCCCATCAGCAACTCATAGCTGACCATATTATTGAAAGATTTCATGACAAAGTATTCATGAATCATTTTCTCTCAAGAAGATTATTATACTCGGCTGTATAATAACTAACTACATATTAGAATTTCTAAATTTTTTAAAAAATATTAGCACGACGTATGAGTTGTGTCACTGTGTCACTGGGAACTTTAGAAATATTAAAATATGAACAGGAACTCACGAACAGAAAACAACTGGAACAATATCCAACACAAATACAGGAACAATAAACACAATGGGAACAAAAACACGGCAGAAAAAACAGAAACAACGGTGATTCGAAGAACAATAATACTAGAAACAACAGATGCAATGAAAACTGGTCTGGGGTTTAATACAACAAGATCTTTCAACAATATTGTCAGGTTGACAGTAAATATCAATGAGCAACTGTTTTCCATGGTGATTTCAAGGCACCGCATGATTTTGATATGTTGTAGTTCTTGATGTGCTGATTGAAAGTGTTCACTGCCAAAGCTCAGAATTGTACAGTTTTCGAGATGTGTACATTCGAATATAGATTTTTTCCATTTTTTTAGTTTTTGATTCATTTGAAAGGGTTTTCAATAATGTGTTCAGCAATATGGTTTTTTTATAAGTGGACGTTGGTATAATAAAAAATTCATTTGTTCAACTTTTACAGTTTATTAATGATATCATGAAACGAAATAAAGTTCAACGCTTTCAACAATATTCGAAATAATAACAGTCTAAAACATATGCTCAAAATGGGAACCGTTTATTTCCTGACAAAAAAAATACGGTGTTCTTTGACAACGTTTTACAACCTATCTGCGGTGATTTGATTGATTTTTTGCCTGATACGGTGTTTCAAGTCATCAATATTAGTTGGTTGCTCCTGTAAATTGTACGCAAGAACGGACTGGCCATTCAATTTTATCACGTCTACTGATCCATCGACTAGTGCTGCATACTGTGGTGTAGCTCCAACCTGTTGAAAAGATATGTTTCACGATCAGGAAAACGTTGTCGTATATAGGTAAAAAAATCCAAGTAACTGGCCCCTATTACTGTCTTCTCAAAAAAATATGGTACAATTATTGTTATTCAGTATGCCAGCACAAAAATTCACTTTAATAGGATACTAAGTGAGACCTTTTCTCATCCAGTGGGGTTTTTGCGTACTCCAATACCGACATTTTTGCTTGTACGCCATTCCATGTAAGGTTAACGTTGCCTCAATATTTTTGGGAAACATCGGATTGTGTTGATATACAATGTGTCTCACTTCTCATGGAAACACCCCCGTATCTTCCGAAATTTTGATATGTTGTAGTTCTTGATGTGCTGATTGAAAGTGTCCACAGCCAAAGCTCAGAATTGTACAGTTTTCGAGATGTGAACATTCGAATATAGATTTTTTCCATTTTTTCAGTTTTTGCTCATCAATCGAGAGCTCTCACTCCTGGTTGGGATATAATTTGGATGTTCAGCAACCAGAATTAGTTTTACGAATAATCTTCTTCAGTTATAATAGATGCCGCCATCAATAATTTTTCATTCACTGCTTCACACTATCTCGAAAATCTGAGAATGTGGTGCTGTGACATTTTCCTCTAAGCTCAAAATGGATGATAGCATATCACAGCATCTATATCTTTCATACCTGAGAGTACTCTCCAGATAGAATGAAGGGATTCAGGTATTGGAAGCGAACTATTTTGCGCCGTAATATGTTTTACCTGAAATGGGGTATTCCATCGCGAGTGGCGAACAATGTATATCACTTTGGCCAACCCCATTCAGGTGATAGGTGCATTTTGAGCATTTCCATCAGTCCTGAGAGTTTCATCGTTCCACCTCGAATATTACGGAAGATACGGGGGTGTTTCCATAAGAAGTGAGACAAATTCGGATTTTTCAGAACTGAAGTTTTTCCAGGAAAAAAGTGTATTCGTAGTAAGTTGGTAGTCCTGATCACGAATCTGAAGGAATTTTCAGCCTATTTTGCCCCCTAATATGTTTTACCGTAAAATGGGGTGTTCCATCGCGAGTGGCGGATAATGTATATCACTTTGGCCAACCCCATTCAGGTGATAGGTGCATTTTGAGCATTTCCTTCAGTCCTGAGAGTTTCATCATTCTACCTCGAATATTACGGAAGATACGGGGGTGTTTCCATGAAAAGTGAGACACACTGTATATCCATCATTATTTAACAAAATTGTAATCTACGATCAGGATCATCCTCATTCACCAGCTACTTCTCTTGTAGGTGTCTCTGGATTTTCCTCAAAAAATAATAAAATGTCCCATTTCTTGTCGTCAGTTTTGATCTCCCAGTTTTGGAAAGATCTTTGACAGTTCCGAATTCATCAATTTTTTTTTTCTGTTCTACCCACCGTAGACTGGGAAATGTGGTGGTCAGGATACTTCTTATTGAATATTCTACATACCTCAGATTGTGTACTTGTTTAATCATCCACTCCAAGCAATATGAATATCTCAATTCTTTGGGTCTCAGATAGTCGCATTTCGAAACAAATCACAAAAAAGTTTAGAAATTCACGAAGAAAGGATTTATAATAAAACACAATACAAATAATTGGAGAGATCTAGTGAACTGAATGAATTTCAAATACGTCTTATCTTTTTATGATATTCAAATATCACAAAAACATCCGATGCTACTCTTTTTGATAACAAAACAACTAATAGACTAGTCAAGACAGGTATTTGTCCCGAGGGAGATCTGTTTGTATTGAATGAAATTAATTTTTTCTTAAGTTTCAAAAATCAAAAAATACCATATGGCTGAATAGTGAATTGGAAACGATTTCAAACGAAGTATCAGACGCTACCCCTTGCTATTCATTTTTTTTTAAGAGAAGCTATAGTTACTAACACAAGTTATTCCAATATTTCGATAAAATTTATTATCATCTTCAAGAATAAGTGTCAGTGAGGATGGCCGTGTCGAAATGAATGTTATATTTGAACAATTGAAACAAGTCAATTCAATGATACAAGTCACTACGTTGAAAGAGGTTAACTCCTCACTGATATAAGGGAATATAAGTCTTATATTTGGTTTAATGCACTTATCCTAATAAACAATTTTTTTTAAGGAACGAAAATCTCTACTCAGTCCAGATGGAGATAAAGATAAAGATCCCCTATTGATCAACCTATTGGATGAAGGTCAAGAAATCATATCGAATCTACGCCACTTAAATTTAAATCCTCAGGTTTGCTACAGAGATTCCGAGCCTATTAATTTGTACCATAAAGTAGGACATGGTACACTAGACATGTACGTCCTCAGTCCGGCCAAAGACTCTAGAGAAGTCAGAGAATTCCTTCAAAAATGGAATCAAAGTGACCAAAAGTTATTTGCCAATTCCAAGTCTAGTCGAGAGTTCAATTTTCCAATTCAAAATTTAATTTCAATAGCTGCTCTTTTAGTATGGCAACCAGCTAATCCGAACGATACCATAACAAGAATAATGTTTCCCGGAAGTTCTCCTCAGAATAAAATATTTGAAGGACTCGACAGGTTAAAGAATCTTGAGTTTATCAAACACTCTGTGTGCACTGAGAGATCTCTTGTGCCCATTTCCATTACCAAAAAGACTGCCAAAGAAACTATTATAGAAAAAGTTACTTCCAAGGAGAGGACTCCAGTGGATAAAAAAGAAAATAAAATCATAGAAAACAATTTGATAACTGCAGTGAATGGCGATATCAAAGAGAAAGAGAAAATTGTAAAAAAATCTGACTCAACAGAAAGTGATCGTAGCATCAAAACTAAAAAAATTGAAGACCATAAACTTATTGAAAACGGCGACAAATCGTTCAAACCGAAAACAAGAACTGCCAAATCAAGAAGTGACTCTCAACAGAGGAAGAAAACGGTTGAGAAAAAAGCTTCACCAACAACACCAAAAAAATCTATTGAAAACGGAGAAGCAAAAAAACCTACCAAACCATCACCCATAGGTACTCCTGCTAAAAGCGCAAAAGACGCTACTAACAGAAAAGTTATAGAGAGTAAAACGAAACGAGAAGCAATGGTGAAACCACAGCAACCAACTGAATCTAAACCAAAAGTGGAGAGAAAGCCAATATCTCGTAGGCCAGTTGCCAAAAAAGCACCCATCAGTCCAGCCAAAAAACTCGTCAGTTCTGTTCAGAAACCAGATAGTATTTCAAGGAAAGGTAAGCTCGATAAGGAAGGAACTACTGATTCTAGTACAGTCAGCACACCATCTGCTGATCAAGACACTGCATTGAAGAAAGACCTATCCAAACTAACACCAGAAGAAATTCAACAACTGAAAGCCCAAGAACTAGCAGATTTGAAAGAAGAACAAGAAGCAGTCAAGGAAATTGAAGCAGTTTTCAGAAAAGGTGAAACTTTACCTGCACAAGATGAAGCTCTAAGGAAGGTTAAAGATGAATCATTGGATGAAAAATTAAATAAAGAGGAATATCTCATAATAGAAAAGGAGGAGATCGACCAGGAATCTCTGAATGAAACGAAAGAAAAAGAAACGCAAAAATTAGCCAGAGATAGTGAAGAATCAGAAAAGCAGAGAAAACTCAGCACAGAAGACAAAATCAAAGATATATCTCCTGAAGTGCAAAGAGAGGTTGATGGTGTCGAAAGCCAAGTTGAGGGCATGGCTAAGACGAAAGTCGACGTTTCAGAATCTTGTAAAGTTGCTAGTCTTGAGGAAAAACTGGATCTGTCGACAGATAAAAAAACAAACGAGAAGGAAGCTGACGAAGAAATCAAAGATGTAATAGAATCTCAACCTGACGAAAAAATTTCTGCAAATATTAAATCAGGAGATACTACAACAGCACCTACATTACCTGAGGATGAACGAATACCACTAGATGAAATAAAGGAAGATAATGGACAAATCGTTGAAGAAAAATATGTGAAAGAAGAAACTAAAGAGAAAGATATTCCAGTAATTCAATTGCCCCAGAAACAAATAGATAATTTTTCTAAATTACCTGGTTCAGTAGGAATACGACTTGACAAACAGCAACACATACGAGATATTGTCAAAACTCCTGACGAAGTTGCGGACCTACCGGTTCATGAGGAAGTTGATTATGAGTATACCCATGAACTGAAGGCCGAAACTCCAAAGTCCAACGAAATATTAGAAAAAGAGTTAGAACATGACGAGCATGCAGGTGATATGAAATACAGTAAAGAACATGAAAAAGAAGTAGAACAGGAGAAGGATAAAGACGAAGTTGTTCAAGAATCAACTGAGCATATTGGAAAATCAGCTATGGCAAAAGAACTCACTGGTTTGGTAGAAACCGTTAAAGTCGGGGAATCCCCACCAAAAGAAGATATATTAAAAGAATCCGACCAAGAATTGAGGAGAAAAGATTTGACTGGCAAGAGAGATGACATATCTGACAGCAGGCCCGACCATATCACTGATACCCAAAAAGTGCAAAGTGATGTTGAAACATTGGCTGATAAATTCCTAGATACGAAAGAAAAAGTATCGACTTTGGAAACCGTTCAAAACATTATCGAAGGTAAGGCTGAAAAACCAATTGACATCACCTCTGAATTGAAGGTGGAAGAAAAAGAAACAAAAGGTGAAGTAGTAGTTACATCATTGGAAGATTTCACTAAGCATGAGCATATCCTCGATGTTCGAAAACTTCAAAGTAATATTGAAATAGCGGATGATAAACCTCTTGACACGAAAGAAAAAATATTTAATTTGGAAACCATTCAAAATATTATTGAAAGTGAAGTTGAACAGCAAATTGAAACTACTCCCGATTTGAGGGCGGCGGTTAAACAAGCAGAAGACGAAAGAAATGTAGACACAAAGTTGGAAGATTTGAGTAACAAAGCAGAAAGCATTTCTAGAGCTAAAGATGAAAATGTTACTGAAGCCAAAGAAGTTCATGTTGAAATTGAATCATCGGCTGATGGACCTCACGACACGAAAGAAAAAGTATCTTCATTGGAAACTGTTAAAAAAATCATTGATAGTGAAACTGAAAAACCAATTGAAACCACTCCTGATCTGAAGGCGGAGATCAAACGAGCAGAACACGAAAAAAGTGAAGACATAAAGTCAAAGGATTTTCATGACTCAGGGGATATTATACTCGAAACTAAGCATGAGCATATCATTGATGCCCAAGAAGTACAAAGTAAAATTGAAACATTGACTGATAAACTTATTGATAACAAAGAAGAAATACCGTCTTTGGAAATGGTTCAGAAAATTGTCGAGGATAAAGCAGAACAACCATTTGATATCGTTCCTGAATTGAACGCTGAGAAAGAATTAACAGAACACGAAGGAAAAGTAGTTACAATATTGAAAGATTTCAAAGAGAAGGATGATAGCATTCCTGAAACTGAGCATGATCATAAAATTAATGTTCAAGAAGTGAAAAGTGAAATTGAAACATCGGCAGATAAAGTCTCTGATACGAAAGAAAAAGTATCTCCATTGGAAACCGTTCAAAAATGTATCGAAAGTGGAGTTGAACAACCAATTGAAACGACCCCTGATTTGAAGGTGAAGGTCAAACAAGCGGAAGACCATATAAGTATGGACACAAAGTTAGAAGATTTGAGTGACAAAGCAGAAAGCGTTCCCGAAACTAAAGATGGACATGTCACTGAAGCCAAAGAAGTTCCCACTAAAATTGAAATATCTGCTGATGGACATTTTGACACGGAAGAAAAAATATCTCCATTGGAAACTGTTCAACATATTGTTAGAAGTAAAGTTGAACAACCAGTTGAAACCACTCCTGATTTGAAGACGAAAGTCAAACAAGAAGAGGGCGACATAAGTGTAAACAAGAAGTTAGAAGATTTGAGTGACATGGGGAAAAGCATACCCGATACTAAAGATGAACATGTCACTGAAACTAAAGAAGTTCATGCTAAAATTGATGAATCTCTTGATATGAAAGAAAAAATATCATCATTGGAAACTGTTCAAAAAATTGTTGAAAGTGGAGTTGAACAACCAATTGAAACCAGTCTTGATTTGAAGGCGAAAGTTAAACAAGAAGAAAACGAGAGAAGTGAAGACAAAAAGTTAGAAGATATGACTAACAAAGAAAAAGATATCTCCGAAACTAAAGGTGAACATGTCACTGAAGTCAAAGAAGTTCATGATAAAATTGAAACATCCACTGATAAACCTCTCGATACGGAAGAAACAATGTCTCCATTGGAAATCGTTCAAAAAATGATAGACAGTGGAGTTGAACAACCAATTGAAAGTTTCTCTGATTTGAAGGCGGAGGTCAAACGAACAGAAAACGAAAGGAGTGTTGACATAAAGTCAGAAGATTCAAGTGACAAAGCAGAAGGCATCTCTAAAACTGAAGATGAACATGTCACTCAAGCCAAAGTGGTCCATGTTGAAATTGAAACATCAGCAGATAGACCACTTGATACGAAAGAAATTGCATCTTCAATGGACACCGTTCGAAAAATGATTGAAAGTGACGTTGAACGGTCAATTGAAACTACTCCTGAATTGAAGGCGGAGCTCAAACCAGCAGAAGACGAAAGGAAGGCAGATACAAAGTTTGAACCTATGGAAGTAGAAGAAAAAATTGAATTAGTTATGGAGAAAAATAACAAAAACCTGAAAGTCAGTCCACCCGAGTCAGTAGAAGTAAAAATTGAAGATGAACAAAAATATGAGCAGATTACTGAGGCACCTACAATAACTGAAGTTGAGGCAGAAATTGAACGAATCGATAAAGGTCTGTTGAAAGCAACAAAGGAAGGTAGAGATCACTTAGTTGAACTCGAAGAAAAACTTCAAGGTCTCAAACAATCTCAAGGGGAAAATGAAGGAGAGGAAAGTCATGCAACAATTATTAACGGTGATGATTCCGCATTGATTACGGAAAGCATCGAAAAATCCATCGAAAAGTCAACGGAAGAGATTATGGAAGATTTTATTCAGAGAGATAATATTGAACATAGATTACCAGGAGATGTAATCGAAAAGGGAGAACTTGGCAGGAAATCGCCTAAAGAACGCGAAGAAGATGTTATCAAAATAGTAGCAAGTGTTGCTGAAGTTCTGAAATCAGATGCTCCGCTTGAAGAATTTGAAGGAAAACTTCCGATAACTACCACTATTAGTCCTTATACAACTCCGTTCACAACAGAACTTCGTGAAACTCATATCACAACTGTTGATTCGCCAGTAATAGAATATAAGGTGATCAAAACGGATATCCCAACTATTCCTGAAGAACCTCATGTAGCTTCTGCCTCACTTATAGAAGAAGAAAAAAGAATATCGGAAGTATATGATTCAACTCATCAAAAACTTGAAGATAAAAGGAGCAGCTTGTTGAAAGAATCACAAGAATTGATGATGGCTACTTCTAAGATCATATCTGATATTAAATCAGGAAAACCCGATGAAACGGTTGAAATAGAGGAGCCCAAAAAAGAAGTTGGAGGGAAATTCAAAGAAGTTTCATTAGATGATGAATTCGAAGTCCAGGAAGAGAAAACTGAGGATGAAGAAAGTGGAACCATTCACAGAATGCTGGTTACAGCTTCCAGTGAGGATGGTGGAGAAGAAATAGAAATTTGTCCACCAGGCACTATAACATTCCCGAGGAGTTCAGAAAGTTCCGGAAGGAGTTCTCCAGATCCATCCCAAAAAGTATTTCAAAAGTCATCTTGGGTGGAAACAATTTCTGATGCATCAATTATCGTTAAGCAAATTGGAGAACCAGAATCTGAAAAACTCTCAGGTGAGTTATTTACCAGCAATATTAGCAAATTATATATATGTTCTTTTGCAGGTCCAGATGAAGAAGAAAAAGAGATCAGTCATCCGATTACAGTAGCACCTATTCAATTATCAGAAGATACTAGTTCTTTGGAGAAGATAATTACTGGAAAAACGACCCCTGATGAAAAATCAGAAGCATCACAAAAATCAACTCCGGATACCTCTGATCTAGAGAAACTAAAAAAGGATACTTTCGATAGCTTAGATAAAGTTGATGATAGGGGTGAAATTAAAATGACCCATACTGATAAGTGTACTGAAGAGAAACAAGATCTAACTGGAAAAGATTTGAAAGAAAAACGTGAATTATCAGAATCTGTGTTGGATAAAAAGAAAAACAATGTAGTCGATTTTATTGAAGATACTATTGAGAGTAGTTCAACAGCTGTGACAAAATTTCCAAAATCTATTTTCAGCGATGATAAATCTGAACATCTATCTGATGTCACTGTTAGCAAAGTAGGTGTCGAGAAAGAAACCACTATTTTTGGATCAGATAATCAAAAAATGAGTGATAGACATGTGGAAATAAGTGAGGATGGAAAACATATTGACATTTCAAAAAGTATTGAATCTATAACAAAACAGGAACCTTTCGAAAATGTCTCAGAAGTAGAAAGTATAGTAGAAGGCATCAAAAAGTCAATCAAAGATACTTTCGATGTTGTAACTGACTATATCCTTGGTGATGAAGATGACACTGAAAAATTAAATGAGGAGATATGTGAGGATGAAACCAAAAAACAGGCTCTCATTGCAAAGAAGTCTGACGAGCAAACAATAGAAAAAAAAGAGATAACGGAACTCAAACCTGCAGAAGATATAACAGAAACCAAAAATGGAGTTCAACAAGTTCAACACCATGAAACCGATGAAATCGTTGAATCTATTCAAGAGCCAAAAGGAAAAATTAATCTTGATGTTATCGAAAAGATAACTGATAAAACTGAAGAAGAACTGGAAGTTTTGCTAGATGAGGAGGTCACAAAAGCAGAAACTACTTCAGTTGAATTTTCTATAGACGAATCAAAAGGTGCGTTGAAGCATTCTACAGTAATTGAACAAATCGGAGTCTTGGAAAAAAAAACGGAAGTTCTCAAACAAACTGAATCTGATGTACAAGATATGGTAAAAAAAACCGATGAAATTACAGAAAAAATTGTAGGTGAAGTGCCAGAAGAAATAGAAGTCTCTGAAAGAATTGAGTCAGAAATCCTGAAAGATAGTTTGAAAGAAAAACCCATTGTTAGTGAGGCACAAGAAAAAGTAAAAAAACATGATGAACAAAAAAAAATGGTCAACGATATTCCCGACAAAATAGAAGGCTTAGAGAAAAGCGAAGTTCTGAAAGATTCAAGAGAGAAAACAAAAGTGAATGATGTACAAGAAAAGGCATTGTTCGAGCTCGACGAAACCAAGACAGTAGTGCAAAAATCGATTGAAGATATTTCTGAACAACCTGATCAGAAAATTGATGTTGTGTCAACAACAACAATAAAACTTGACGAAATATTAGATAGTGATAATGAAAAAATTCCAAGAGTAATATCTAACGAGGATGATTCAGTTATTGAAAGAGATAAGTTGAAAGAACTATTACATAGTTTCGATGATATTGCAGAAACTCATAAAGAAGAGTCAGTGATCTCACAAGCAGAACAAAAATCACGTGTAATAACACCAAAAATTTCAGAATCAATCGATATCGAAGGCAAGCCTGTATCCACAATTTCCCAACATGTTCTGCAAACAAAAAGCGAAGAACTGAAGGACATGACTTGTGAAGTATCTGAACTAATTTCATCAGAACTTGAAAAAACTCATGATCATTTGAGCAGTCTGAAAGATGAAGTTGAAGAAATTGTTTCTGACATTATTACAGAAACGAAAAATATTTCAAAAAATTTGTTGGATAATGTCAAACATGTATTTGAGGAAACAACGTATGCTATTTCGACACGACCAGAAGATTCAAAGACTGTGACCGATTCTAATGATGATGAATTATATAAGGCGGACAATTTACAGAAAACAGATGATGTATTGAATGAAGTCAAAGAAGACATGGCAGATGCTACTGAAAAAGGTTTAGTAGTTGAAGCATGTAAAATTGTTGAGAAATCTGATGAAAAGGACCAAGTAAGTCTAGATCAGAAAATTCATGAAACCACATACCTTACGGATGGGACTAAAAAAAATTATAAAATGGAAGATGAGATCATTCAGGACTGTCAACCAAGTGAAAGTCGAATAGAAAAGTTCAAAGATGTTGACTGGGTAGTTGAACAAGTCATTCAGGATGAATCACAAAAGGGTAAAGAAACTTCTGATATACAAAAGGAAACGTCATGTGAAGTTTCAGATATTGTTTCACCAAAATCGGTGACAATCAGGGATACGAAAATAATTGATGAGTTTATCACTGACACCACAAGCCAGGCGAAAGAATCTGTTGTATCTTATCAAAAAGAAAAAACAGATGATCATTCAATGGAATCGAAAGATTATATTGAGTCACAAAAAGAAATGCTAAGTACTTTGGGGGACGAAACCGTCGACAAACTATCAACAGCTATTTTGGAACAACCAAAAGATGATGAGAAACTTGGAACAATTCCATCTAAAATAACATCTGAACTAGATAAAGGTTCTGAAAAACAAATGAAAGATGATACTGTCCAAAACTTTGAGACAAAAGTTGACGAAACGATCGCAACTGACACATTCGCTGCATCTCAAGCTTCTAAGAGAGGTGAAGATAGCGTAATATCAGAAATGCATAAAACGGTGGTGGATGATAAGTTTACACCATCTGATGGCATCGAGGAGGCAAAGAAGCAGGAAACTGAAAAGTTTGGGGATATGGAAAAAGAAATGAAATTGGATTCACAATCAGAAACAAAAAAGGTGGAGACTGCCATTGGATTGACAAAACAAAAATCCGAAGAAAAAAGTGAAACTAGGGAGTTGACATACAGTCAGAAAATACTTTCTGGAGAAGATACAATAAAAGAAAAATCACTACAAGGAAAAGAATCAAAACCATGTGATGAAAGTGAAAATATCGATGCAGCACAAATAGAACATAGTTCATCAGTCAAAGTAGAAGAAGTACCAATAACTGATATAAAAATTGACGAAGCAGAAAAAAAAGTTTACATGAGAACTAGTGATTCGGTAGAAATGAAAAAATCACTTCATGATGCTACCGAAATACCTATTATCAAGAAAGAAGAGAAACGTAGGGAATCTGATGAAAATAATACACCAGTTGATATAGTTACAGTTCAAGGAGAAATGAAAATTTCATCAAAATCGAGAGAATCTGGTACATCCGAATCAGCACAATCAATTATTTCTACATTTTCTGAAGCATCTGCTGATTCTGATAAAGACACAATAAAAAGCCATGAAGGTGTTGATGAATACGAAGATTCAATTGAGAAAGGGGAGAAACAGTTAGACACTGTTGGAGATGTAAAAAAACTCACAGAATTAACAGACTATGAGTCAAAAACAGTAATTGAATCTTCAGATATAAAAAAATCTACAAAAGAAAAGGACTCCGATACATCTCATAAATCACAAGGTGAAAGTGATGTTCACAAAAAGAAACTAAGTGAAATAGAAATGTCTGACACTTCAGAATTAATGAAGGAAGACTCTGCACTTTGTAAAGAAAAGTCATCAATCGACAAACATACTGAGACACCTGAAGAACTAATTGAAAAGTCACTTCAACTAGAAAAATCGTCACATAAAAAGTCCGAACAAGATCACGAAGTGAGTTCTGATTCAATGAAAGATATGACGCAGTCTCTCATTCTCGCACCAAGTCAAATTGAGTCCCAAATCGAATTGGACGAAAAAAAAACTGAAAGTTTGCTAGAAAGTAAAGAATTAGTTATTGATGAATCTACGAGAACTTTGAAAGAAAAACAACACGAGAAAACTGATAAAGAGAAAGATATTGACGAAATCGAAAAATCAGACTCTACAGAACAGGGTGCAATTGTTGCGGGAAAAACATTCGAAACAACTCAACAGTCATCAAAATGTGTCACCTCTGAATCACGCGAATTGAAAGAGACAAAGGAGTTCGATGAATTCGAGCACACAAAAGTTTTGAAAGATGATCTACTTCCCAAACCTCTTACCGAAACAGGTATCTCTAGAGATGAGAAAGATCAACAAGATCTGATGAAACAGGAACATCTTTCTAAACATTCAGATGATGAATCTTCAAAGGCAACCGAACATATTGAGGCAGTTAGTTCGCTGGAAAAAACTCCTCATGGGATATTTAAGGGAGATTTGGTCAAAATTGAAGGAGCAAATTTGGATGAGGTAACGAAAAATGATATTTTGGAACAATCAGCAAAAGATCTAGAACACACTTTCGAAACGATAGAGGATATGTCGAAATCTGTGATTTTCGAAACTTGCAAAATGGCTGATAGTAAAATGGTAGAGGATGGCACGAAAACAAAAAGCGTAGAAACAATTGTAGTTGGAGATAAAACCTCAGAAGGCATTAGCGAATCGGTTGTTTCTGAAACATGTGAAATGACCAGACTGGAAACTTCAAATAATCTTTTGAACGGTCATTTCGAAAAATCTGATACTGAAAGAGAACATTTGTCTGAATCGACCCTTCATAAAACTACTGATAAAAGAAGAGCTGACTTTGAAGAATCTGAGAAAGTTTATGGCGATGGCGAGTTGGAGGAAACACTTCAGGATGAATCAGCCAAATATTTGGAAGATGACATTGAAACTGTAACAGATCCCGAAATAACTCGTGAGTTATCGGTAGATTTGCAGAAAGAAAAATCTGATGCTGATAAAACCGTTGACGTAAGTCTATTTATGAAACAAGAAGATCTAGTTCAGAAAAATAAAGACGACCGTTTGGAAGGAGTTTCTGTGGTTCCTCAAAAGTCCACTAAAATATTTTCAGAAAGTGAAGAGAAATGTGATGTCGAGAAAGAAGTTGAACACGATACAATAACAGGTGAAAGTGGAAAAGAACAAGAGTTGAAATCTGCAAAGTCTTCAATAGCTATTGACGAATCTATCCAATACTTGCCCCAGTCGAGAGATTCTGCAATCGTAGATGACACAGGAAAGAAAATTGAACATGAAAACACTGATGCTGAAAAACAAGTCGATGATGGAAACAATTCAAGAAAAGTAGGATGGGAAACAACTGGGGAAATATGTAAAAAAATTGAGGAAAAAACTGATCCTGATAAAAAAATGCCAGAAACAATACCAGGACATGCAGTCTCACTTATGGAGAAGCCATCCAAAAATTTTGAAGATGGGACTGAAGCATTTTCACATACTCCTATGGAAGAGGTCTCTGGAGACTCTCAGAAAATATCAATAGATTCTCTTGATCATGAAAAATGTGATGCCGAAAAAGAATTTACAGTAGATGATTTATCAAAACCGTCCAAGCAAATTTGTGACAAAAAGTCGGATCTTGAAAAGAATATTGAAACAAAAGTTGACTCTAACGGCAAGACAGAAAAAGTCGCAATTACACTCGAAAAAACTGCCAAAGATCTCGAAGAAACATTCGAAACAATGACCGATATGTCAAGATCTGTTATTTTCGAAACTAGTGAAAGTGGAGGGAGCAAAACGTCAATAACTGATGAGTTAACTGAGAAATCTAATACTGTTGATGTCCATGAAAAACAAGATACAATTGAAAAATATCTTGGTGCGGAAAAAGTCACATCTACATCCATAGGTATCAGCAAGCCCATTTCAGAAACATCTGATGATCAAGAGCAATACTCAAAACATATACAGCTTAGCCAAGAATGTTCAGATTCTCACAAGGAGGAACATAAGATATCACAAGAAATGAAATCTGACCAACCTGCCAAAACTTTTGCATTCGAGAAGAGCGATGAGGAAACTATGGAAAAGTGTGATAGAGATTCGACTCAATCAGTTTTTGCAGGAATTGAGGAACGTTTGGAAAAATCTGAATCCACGCGAGCTGGGCCCTCCATTTCAGAAAAGCCAATAACTGATTCAGAAAGCGATAAAGAGTCCCAAGAAACTCTTCTCCATGAAAAACATATCCCTGGGGCTATCACACCTCCCACTGTTCCTGTGAGTCCCAATATATTGGAGGAAACTACAAAACTAACTGTAGGTTCACAAGTTTCGATGAGAGAAGTTGATGTAAGAAGTGTTACGCCCGTAAGTGATGATTCTGAAATTATAGGTTCAACTCAGACTGACATATCAGAACGTACATCCAAAGTTCTTTTAGATAAGGAAAGTGATGATGAAGATCAACTGAGCATTATGTCACAAGTTGCGCATTCAAGAGACTCTTCTCACTGCGAATTTGATGATGATTTCAGAAGGGTTGATCCTATGAGTATGTCTATGTACGGATCTTTACCTGGAGAAACGAGTACTGAACAAGAGGTAGAGCCAAGTTATTTGTTTGAAATCACAAGGGCTAAATACCCCACACCTTCTGTAGATAAGACTGATGAAAAATTGACTGAAAGTACTGATGAGACTAAATCCGAATCGACCCATATTAGTGAAACGTCTTCTTCTTCAGTGAGCCAAGAAAAAAAAGACCCAGTTGCATCTTGGGGTAAACCATTAGGGTTACCAGCTCCTACGTATTTATACGAGATTACACAAGCCAAATTTTCTACACCTAGGTACGATATCAACGAAGATAGATCTTGTCAAACGGGGACAGTGATACAAAGTGGAAGTGAAGACCGAGATGGATATCGTTTTGGATCTCAACCTACAGACATGATGACTGCTAGTTTTTATGGTGATTTACCTAGTGACGAAAAAGATCCTCTTTCAGCTTGGGGTAAATATACTTACTTATCAACTACTCAGCTTACAAAGTACCAAGCAACTCACTATTTTTTGAAAAATTCAATATTTCGAAATAATTTTTATCATATATTTCGAGTTGTGGCGGAATTCAGAGAGGCAATCAAATGAAGGTTTGTCTTAATTGTCCAATAAAACTTGGATTTTTTCTTAATACAAATTAGGAAACGCCAAACTTTCAAGTATCAAAATTGCAGTTTCTGAAGTGCTTGCTCCAAATTGTTTCAAATGTTATTGTCGATCAGAAGACTGAAGTTTGAAGTTATTTTTCTATTGACTGAAGTCGATTGTAATATAATTGATTACGATTACAGTCGGGTTGAATCGAGTGAAATCGAAAATGGTAAATTATTTTTGAATTTAAATATTATGAAGAAAGCGAGTATGAAAATGTATTTCATTGCCTGAAATGTCTGAATCCCATATATCAGCTATTATCTATTTGGGTTCAGTAAATACCTCTTTATTCTCATTTTCCATGACTGTCATGGTGAATGAGGTAGGTGTGGTGTTCATTGAATGAAATGTGGTATGATTAATTCTAATTTGTACTATTATTCATTTCCTCAGTGCGGCAACATTGATTCTATCGATATTTGGGACTAAATCAGCCGGATATAAAAACATCATAAATACAAAAGGGAAGAAAAATATTCATGGCCAATTATCTGAAAAAACAATTTGTTCAGGCAAGTCTCAACTTACCTACACTGTAGGTTACTAGACTGACACCTATCAGAAATAACTACTACCCTGGCTAATACCACGAAAGACGTCGGATTATATTCGACACGTGTCAGTGCAGGATTCTTCGCGGAAGTAATTCCTGCATATGCTGTTGGCAATACAATTGCCGGAATCCATTTTCAATTATTGAAAAACATTTGCAGACCGGTTTCTGGCTATTTGGCCACTCGTCAGTGCAGGGTAGTGTCCTACATAAAAGTGAAGTCGATGATTTCCCATAATTAATATCCAATTTCTTTCAGAGTATCATTCCTCGAACTAGGCTGAAGCGAACGACAAACAACATATTTGTCATCGCCCCATCAGCCCGTGAACAAGGTAACCAACCGCATATCCGTATCGTCCAATTCCTGGTAAAAGGAAATGAACTTCACATATAGTAAGGGGGCATACTTAATCTACAGTGTATGTGAGTTGATATTGGCCTGAATGAATTGTTCTTTCAGATAATTTGCGAGTTACAGCCATCCTTCATGTATGCTCCTTACTATATGTGAAAAATATTCATGGCGATGATTTTTGTCGACACTACCACCGTAATTGAAGATTAGCTAGTAAAAGTGAGAAGTTATGACAATAGAGCAAGCAAATCCGACCAAGTTATTACCCGTCAAGAAAAAAAAAACTACATATACAAGAAAAGACATTTTTTCTCAAAAGCTTTTGTTTTGTTTCCGGGCACAGTGTTCAGGTAGATTATTTTAGAGAGCCATATTTTCATGATCACCATTTGTTTCGTGATTCAGAATAATGGAAATATTGAGAATCGGACAGATATTTGTTTTTATTTGATTATTGACAGTTATGAATCCTTCATTCGAAATCATGAATGTATAAAATCAATTAGTAATACCATGAACTTGATATTGATTTCAGTACCTACATTGCAAACGGATTTATTAAAGACTTGATTTCTATCATTTTGTAAACTTTACAAGTATCCTTAATTATTGAGGTACAAATCACATCTATTGTTAAGTTTGAGATGTTCAGTTCTACTACCATTTCATAACAACAAACATTTCCAGGAAAACCTCTTGGTCTGCCAAGTCCCGCCCCACCAAATGACAATAAGGGAACTCCAAAAAAAGAACGAAAACTTCCACCAAATGTAACAGCCAAGAATAAATTGAACGACGATAGAAAAAGGGCTGAATCGCCGTCGAAATACAACAAGAATAAAAAAATTGTTCCAGTTTACGTTGACCTCACCTACGTCCCTCATCATGGCAATACGAACTATTCCTACGTAGATTTCTTCAGAAGAATACGGGCGAGATATTACGTGTTTTCCGGAATAGAACCTAGTCGGGATGTATATAATGCTTTGCTGGAAGCCAAACAGACTTGGGAAGATAAAGACTTGGGTAAAGTACTTTAATGAAATGGTTATTTTGAATAGAGATATACTTTTTTGTAAACTTTTTTATCGATGCTCGTTCGATTTACAAGTATCATGTGTTACATGATGACAATAGCCAGTATTTAATCAAACACGCCAGAAGAAGTTACCATGTACTGGAATAGGTGTATGCAAACCGGTTTTTGAAAATCTCAAAGTGGAGTGTTATCGAATACGTTCATCATATGAATTTTTCTAAACATACCCTTCATTCCTTCACTGACCTCATTATGTTATGAAACATTTTTGTGAACTTTTCGTTCATTATTATCTTTTGAAGGCTGAAAACTTGTTATGAACATGGCAAATTTTTAGTTCAGCATCCTAGTTCAGGGACAAAATCCTATTTATGGGTAACTTGTCATTCTTTGATGAATGATTTCATATGTTAAATTTAAGGGACTGTTCCTTGGACTATTCTGAAAATATTTTGTCGTTTGATGATTTTTGATAGGGCGCTTTGTTTCGAAGATACAGGACGGAAAAGAATTTCGACAATAACAATTCATTACCAAAAATTAGATGTAAGTTTCTTAATCTACAAGAACTGTTGAAAATGACTACCATCCGCTCGGATGCAAGAATCCAATCTTCTCCTCATCAACTTCCGAACTCTTTCAAAAACACCAGGATCGTTTCTGATTGCGCTACACCCAGCAAATTGAATGTCTGCAGCCGTTTGTAGTAATCGGAATGTTGTTTATAGGTACCAATGGAATTGTTAGATTTTTTATCACTTGGTAGGTCGAGTGAAGTACGCTATACTTTCATTTCGACTACGTTAATAATTTTAAAATTACCAAATTTGTTATTGTCGAAATTCTTTTTCCCCCCGAATCTTCGAAACAAAGCGCCCTGTCAAAAATCATCAAAAAACAAAATATCTGTTCAATAAACATAATATTCATCATTATATTTGCCGTGGACTAGGTTTGCCGTGGTTAGGTTTTTGAGGCACAAAAACATTTTTGTAATTGTCCTTGAATGAACTCTGAATGGTATAGTTTGGGGTCTGGGTAAAGGGTAGCGGCCCCCTACCAACCCTATATTTTTTTATGAGGTAATTCTCTTAACTAAAATTAATTTTCAAGACATTTTCAACTTTTCATAACTCCAAGTTGAATATTTGAGAAATTGAAAAATAAAAATGCCATATTGATTGGTCAGGTCTCAATGTTACCCACGCTATTGACAAATGTTTTTTCAAATATTTTTTTTTAAATCGTGAAGCACGCTGACGTTTTGGGAGAGTAATATAGATACCGAGAGACACATAATTCCAAACAGTCAGATCAATTTGATGGAATTTTCCAACTGCCAGACGATCAAGAAAGTTTCATATAAGTGCGAGTGAACAGCACTATACGTAGCTTCCCCATGCCTCCTCCCGGGTTAAATGCCTGAGTTTAAATCTTCCCCACACGGTTACTGTGTGCAGAACATCCCATCTTGTCCATCCACCCCCGCCATTCCTATTCTCTGCCGTACGTGAGACCTGAACGTAAATCTTTTGTCTAGGTTGACTCCCAGGTATCTAGCTTCGTTGATTAACGGAACCTCTTGTCCGTTGAAGGTGACGTTTACTTCCGGGTGTACCATCCTCCGGGTGAACAGTATAGCCTGTCCTTTGTCAGGGTTTATACTGATCTTCCACAGGTTGGCCCATTCCTGTAATCTATCTGCCTGTTGCTGCAAGTATCCAGTGGCATGCGCTTGGCTTGTTGATCTTTCCAGCAGAGCGTAGAGTGCCAGCTTGTTAAAGTTGTTCTCCGGCTGGAGCACGTCTGCTGTGTATAACGAGAAGAGGTGTGGCGAAAGGACTTCACCTTTTGGGACCCCTGCTTCCAGTAATCGCATGGTTGAGAGTGTTTGTCCTACTCTGCAGCGGCATCGCCTGTAAGTTAAAAAATACTCGATTCATCTTACAATTTGTTTAGTGTAGCCAAACTTGCACATTTTGGCCAAAACTCCGTTATGCCAAACTTGGAGACGTCTAAGAAGAGCGCTCCGGTGTTGTATCCTTTGCCGAGGTTGAAGCCTTCCATCGCAAAGTCTACTACCCACAGGACTTGCAATTATGTCGAGTTCATTTGGTAGGATTCCTAGTTCGATGGTTTGGTCTTCTAATCTTCTCAGGATGACACGTTCTGCCACTTTACTTAAGGAAGGGGTTAAGCTGATTGGCTTGTGGTTATCTGGGAATAGCCGGTTCTTCTTTGGCTTCGGGATGTAGATTACCGTCGCCTTCTTGAACGGGAAGGGAAGTGCTTCAGTCTGAGTATAGCATTTATGATGTTTGATACAGCTGCTATACCCTTTTGTGTTAGGAATTTCAAAGCCCGGTTTGTTATTTGGTATAAGCCTGAAGCTTTCTGAGTAGCTAAACGTCTTACGATATCTTTCACTTCCTCGGGAGATGTTGGTGCCAGGGGTTGCGCGTTATCCCTTCTTTGTTTTCTGAGTCTACGTACTGTCGTTTCCACCTGTGTCTCTATTTCTTCTACTTCGTCCATGAACGGGACGTCGTTCTCTCTGCACTGCCTTTCGAAATTGTCTGCAAATACTTTCGCTTTCTCTTGGTCCATGTAGACGATTCCTTGCTCGCCGTGTATTGGCGGGCATGGCTTTCGAGATCCCTTCCTAAGAGTTTTCTACATTCTTCATGCAGATTGGTCTTTGGTGTTTAGTTCTTCCAGACGGGTTGTCCAAAGTTGATCTCGGATTGCTTTTAGTTCTTCTCGTAGTATTCTGCCGGCTCTTTGCATACACCTTTTGTCCATTGTGCGCATCTTGCGTCTTCTAATTCTAATTAGTTTCTGGTGGAAGATACTCCTGTAAGTTGAAGCGCTGGGTTAGGACTTCCCGTACGGTTCTTTCCATTGTTTGGGTGATCGCCTATTGCAGCTGTTGTGTGGCGTTCTCCAGATCAGTCTTTGTTTCGATGCATGGTATATCTCCTATCGCATTGTGAATAGTGCGCTGGAATCTTTTTCAGTCGATGATTCACTTTGTTGGATTATCTGGTTCCACGAAATTTTCAGCTGTTCGTAGCGTTTTAGTTTCAGTTGTATTTCTGGCTTTCTATATTCGTGTTATGCTTGTTCGGTTTTTACTAGTTCTTTTCACTCCTTGTCTTTGTCTCCTGTAGTGTCATGACGTCTATGTCTAGTCGTGATAGCAGTTCCAGTAGCTCGTTTCTTCTATCTTCAGCAATTCTGGAATCCGTGCAGACATTAACGTTGTCCAGGTTTTTGTAGTAATGCAGCTAATACCGCTTGCGCGATCCTCTGCTGCTCGGTCAAAAGTTTTCCTAATACATTTTTTAGGTTATTGTTATTTCTGTCTGTCTGCGCCTTCTGTGGTGTCGTTTTGGCTGTCGGCTGTTGTACTCTCCGCTGTTCCATGCTATTGTCCTCGGTCTGAGGAACATTTTGCACCCCCTATAGCTCGCTGGATGCGCTTCCAAGCGGCTAGCGCATTTCGCAGGCGTATCTTTAGTCTTTTTGCATTCTCTGCTTTCGTAGTTTTCACCACATGTCACTCAACGCGCGGTTGGGTGGAAGCATCGCTATGAATTGGCGCCGATGGCGTTGTGATACTGTGGCACTGTTTATTCTTTGCGGTTCCGTCCGCACAATGAGATTCACACACGTTCTCAGTGCAAACATTTTGTCTTCTGTTTTCGGCACTTTAACTAGGAATAATGGTAGCGTCTTCCTGTGCGCCTTGATATCATTCGGTGACATTCAAACATAGTGAAACCTTGTTTCACTAGGTCATTTGTGACATCCTCCGTCTCCACATTCTCAGGGATTCCGCGAATGACCGCGTGTAAAGGAATCTCCATCTTAATAGTGTACGTATGGAAGTCCAGTTTTTTGATCTCGGATTGCTTTTAGTTCTTCTCGTAGTATTCTGCCGGCTCTTTGCATACACCTTTTGTCCATTGTGCGCATCATGCGTCTTCTAATTCTAATTAGTTTCTGGTGGAAGATACTCCTGTAAGTTGAAGCGCTGGGTTAGGACTTCCCGTACGGTTCTTTCCATTGTTTGGGTGATCGCCTGTTGCAGCTGTTGTGTGGCGTTCTCCAGATCAGTATTTGTTTCGATGCATGGTATATCTCATATCGCATTGTGAATAGTGCGCTGGAATCTTTTTCAGTCGATGATTCACTTTGTTGGATTATCTGGTTCCACTTCACCTCTTCCACCATCTCTATAGTAGTGATGTTCTGCACTATGGCGACGTCAAGGATGTTTGGGACTTGGTCTTCTCGTGGGTAATATGTTGGGGATTCTGGTGCTACTACCACGATGTTCTCGAATTCTTCTAGCATTCTGGCTAGATGTCTGCCTCTTTGATTTCCATTCCTGCAGTTCCAGTCACACGACTCTGCGTTGAAGTCGCCTATGGTAACTGTAGGTTGGTAATCTGGGAACATTTCTGCTATGTCGGTTCTCTCTAGTCTTATACCTTGCGGAGGCAGGTATACCGACGAAATTTTCAGCTGTTCGTAGCGTTTCAGCTTCAGTTGTATTTCTAGCTTTCTATATTCGTGTTATGCTTGTTCATGACGTCTATGTCTAGTCATGATAGCAGTTCCAGTAGCTCGTTTCTTCTATCTTCAGCAATTCTGGAATCCGTGCAGACATTAACGTTGTCCAGGTGCTTGTAGTAATGCAGCTAATACCGCTTGTGCGATCCTCCGCTGCTCGGTCAGAAGTTTTCCTAATAAATTTATTAGGTTATTGTTATTTTTGTCTGTCTGCGCCTTCTGTGGTGTCGTTTTGGCTGTCGGCTGTTGTACTCTCCGCTGTTCCATGCTATTGTCCTCGGTCTGGGGAACATTTTGCACCCCCTATAGCTCGCTGGATGCGCTTCCAAGCGGTTAGCGCATTTCGCAGGCGTATCTTTAGTCTTTTTGCATTTTCTGCTTTCGTAGTTTTCACCACATTTCACTCAACGCGCGGTTGGGTGGAAGCATCGCTATGCATGCCCGAAGAATTGACGCCGATGGCGTTGTGATACTGTGGCACCGTTTATTCTTTGCGGTTCTGTCCGCATAATGAGATTCACACACGTTCTCAGTGCAAAAATTTTGTCTTCTGTTTCCGGCACTTCAACTAGGAATAATGGTAGCGTCTTCCTGTGCGCCTTGATATCATTCGGTGACATTCAAGCATAGTGAAACCTTGTTTCACTTGGTCATTCGTGACATCCTCCGTCTCCACATTCTCAGGGATTCCGCGAATGACCGCGTGTAAAGGAATCTCCATCTTAATAGTGTACGTATGGAAGACCAGTTTTGTGTCTTCCTTGTATCTGGTGACTTTACGCCATTCTGTCTCATCATTGCTATGTATATAAATGCTATCTTTTGTTGTACCTGTTTTTTTTGTTTCGAGATCCTTGAAAATCTTGCTCTATCTCTTACTGTCGTGCAGCACTATCGGTGGCGGCTTACCTGATTCTGCGGTTGGCACCACTCCCTCAGTTTTTATGTTTGAGGTTCTTCTCCAGTTGGCCTCTCTACATTATTGATCGGTTCTGCTGTTAACAGAATTTCGGTTGGCAGCACTTCTTGAGTAAGTAGCTGCCTTTTCCGGTTCCGTCGTGTCCATTGTTTTTTCTTCTGCTGTTATTTTCGCGGCTGCTTCTTGCGCGAAGCGTCGTGTGGTTCGGCGGTTTGCCTTGGTTCTTCCCTGTTCTCGTTGGCATCTTTCTTTTCTGGATTGGATTATCGTGGCATTTTGACTTCTTCAGCCTATGTGCCAGTTTTTTCCCTTGTTTGCTCCTCTCTCTGATTATATTCCTCAGTCTGTCATATTCCAATACATTCAGCCTTTCGTTCAATTGTTTAATGAAGCTTACTGATTCGTCTTTCTGATGACGGAACTTGTGATTTTCCCTTTCTAAGGATTCCAGTTTTTCCTCCATAATTTCCATTATACGACCCTAAAAAACCTAAAAAGATAAGCTAAAAAATTTAAAAAAAAATTGTGTGCTTTGCACACGAGTAGTTCTGATAAGAACTTAGGTCGTTGACCCCTTTGGTTTTTACTCCTAGGTTGTCACTTTTGTTTTACAGTAGAACTCAGTTCAGTACCCTTCATTTCCGTCTCAATACGTCTAATCGCTACGAATGCTCGACTCGAACTTTATACGTACATAGCTTGAGGTACGAGAGAGAGCCTACATTGGCTGTACCTCTCGCTCAGGTTTACTGCGACGAGATTGGCCCTCAAAAAAACACGTGACCAACAGCACCCATGTGAACTCTCAATAATAATTTCGGAGCTCAACAAGAATCTCAGTCGTATAACATAATGTTTTCGTTAGCCACGTGTTATTATTTGTTTGTTTCAATTGTTTATTTTGCACAATGATTGATGATGAATGAAGAGGACGATGCTAATTTGGAATTTCAAATAAAAAAATCATTTCAGAAAAATAAAATTATTTATTTAGACCCGAAACTATTACTTAGACTTTTCAAAGGTGATGTAGGTCACGTGGTCGATAGGTACAGCCAATGTAGGCCATCTCTCGCACCTCAAGCTACGTATAGTGCTGTCACCCGCACTTATATGAAACTTCCTTGATCGTCTGACAGGCGGAAATTTCCATTAAACTGATCTGGTTTGTGGAATTATTTGTCTCTCAGTAGTCTCAATTACAAAATTTTTTTGTAGTGCTTCAAGAACCTACCCAAAATTGTTCAACATCTCTGGGACTATAAGTACCTAGTTTGCATAACCCAGAACTTTGAGTCCATTATGAGTAGCAACAACAGTAGGAATAACATAACCCCGGAGGACAACCTCTTACTACTCGAGCAACTTCTGTTTCTCTCAAAATGGTTGTGTTAATGTCGTGACAGATTTATGTTTATTTTATCCCGATTGCTTCGTTTTCATTATTTGAATTGAATAGATACAATTCTAGAATAGAACTACCAAAAAATTTGAAATGATCTGCACCTCACATATGTCTGATATTGTAGCCACTGTTGAATATATGAAATTTCGACTAATAAATATTTTTATTTCCATTTCAGAAGTCACCATCATTCCCACATACGATACCGATATATTGGGATATTGGGTGGCAGAGAACGAAGAAATGTTAACAAAATATAAAATAGACTTATCCCCTTCTGCATCTCGTTGTACTATCAACTTACAGGACCATGAAACATCATGTAGTGCATATAGGTTGGAATTCTAAAAGACTCCTGTGAACCCATATATTTTATTTTCTTAGCAATAAACAATGTACAACCGCATCATATTTTACCGATTTGAAAAAATGGTTTTGTCTCACGTATTTAGTCGTCCATTTTGGTGTCGACTCAAGAAACCAACACGTTAAATCTATATCTTCCTGAAAAAGTACCTCTAGTTGCAGTCTTCTAACCAACTCGTAGCTAAGAATTAGGAACACGTTCAAGCTTGAAGAAAAATTTCGATCGAATTAGGAGTTCCTTAATATTTCTCAAAACCTAATGAATGTTAATGATTTTTCAAATATTTATTCAAAATTATTCTTCCTTTGTGAAGAATAATGTTGATTATTTCAAAGTTTATCGAAATCTCAAGTAAGACGTAATCGCCGTCAAATTATATGTGAAATGATAGAATAGGTAACTAAGATTTCAAATAGCTGCCAACATCTCGGCTAGATTTGCAAGAAATAATTATTTAGCTCAGCATTAACTAACTTGGTTTCAAGAGGACAATCTAGAGATCTCGTATATTTATTTGTAGGCGAATAAATTTTTTCGGATCCGTTTCAGTAATTTAACCAAATAGAAAAGCCTCATTTTTTTGATATTTCGCCAAATGCCATTGCTGAAATGCTACATAATTATTTCGTGTATGCTTTATATGTGTTAAGAATAAACGATTATATCATTTGTGATATAATATAATTTTTGTTAGCTAAAGAATGGTGGGAAGGACGGAAGGTACTTAGGCCTTTTGATTTTTCTATAGTTATAGTTTATTTGCAGTTTTGTACCGATCACGCTTTTTCACGATATGCCAAAGATATTGTTTTTGCATAAAACGTATTTATTGCATGAATCCAATATACTCACAGTCATTTTTATCTGAATGTTAGAGACTTATTTTATTTTCTAATGGGGCCTACAAGTCACGGTGTTATTTGTGTGATAAATTTTAGCAACTTAAATTACTTTAGAATTAATTACTGAGCCTACCTTTTTGAGTTCAGTTTATAAAATATATACCAAATTCTCAGAACATGTCCGTTATACAATGTCGTTCGAGTCCAGAAAACGTAAATCACCCGAAGGGGCCAAATGTTTCTGACGAATATAACCTGGACTCAAAAAACACAAGAATATTCAAAAAAATTGAGCTTCGTACTATAAGTACACGAAACTATTATTGTTAACTATATATGTAAGATTGGTGCTATAAAAGAAATGCCTTCGTATGGATTTCGAGTTTGATTTATCATGTGCTCCATCTGAAAAGGCAAATTGAGACACGATTCATGTTTGATCAGTTAAGAGTATACCCAACACCATTTTAAATTCGTTCACTGAATCTGCTAATCACCTGAAAATATATGAGTTATAACTTTACTTTCCATCAGCTGAGTTTAGTTGAACGCACATATAGATGAAGTGACTATATAAAATTGTGTTGGTTATATTTCGTGAAAAAGTCACTTTATATTTATGTTGAAAAGATCATACCATCTAAGTATTTATGTGCAGTTTCACTTGAATTACTCTAATATAATTAAATAGCTTCTAGTCAAAAAAAATCTGATATCTTTTAGCTTAAAATGTTGAAGAGTTACATATATTCAAAACGCAATTAATGTATGGGATATGTATGAGAATATGAAATAAAAATTTTAAAAAGTATGCTATTTGTTCTTTATCAATTAATCTGTTGTGGATATTAAAGCAATTTTCATAAATGAACTGACATTCCTTTGAGAAAACAACTCTGATGATTTCTTCAGTTTCAGCAAATAGTTCTAATTTCCTCATTGAAACGATTCAGTCACATTATAAAAAGGATTCCTAAATCTGCTAGAAATTGCTCTGCCTCTGCCTTTTGCGAAATTCTAGATGAATGTTTACATACAAACTCTCCAACAAGCTGGGAAAACTTGTTAACTTTTCCTTATACTTTGTTCTCTATCCCACATACCAAGGACTCCCTAAGATCTTCTCTCGCATATCATATAAATAAAAACATCAAACTTCTTAATTCCAAGACCAATGTCATTCCATCTCAGATCGATAAAAGGAAATATAACCAAAACTTTTCTGAACTTGTTTTGATTAAAATAGCTGATTGTGACATTAGGTCAGCTACCAGAATCTTGAGTTCAAGTGATACGTTGGTCGAATACGATGAATCCACACTTTCAGTTCTCCAATCGAAACACCCTCGATCAGATTCCTTCACACATTTTCTAGATTCGCAACCACCACACGATTTTTCAGAGTTTCCGGTGTTCCAATTTTCAGAACATGAAGAATCGGAGGCAATCAAATCTTTTCGTTCTCGTTCTGCTGGTGGTTTAGATTCTTTCCGCCCTAGCCACATGCAAGACCTCATTAGTCACAGCTCTGGAAATTCAGGACAGAAACTTCTTTCTTCAGTTACAAAATTATGTAACTTCATTTTTACTGGTAGAGTTTCTCCAGAAATTTTTTCAGTACATTTTGGCGCTTCACTGTGTGCTCTTGGGAAAAGGATGGAGGAGTAAGACCCCGATTGCCGTCGGTTCCTTTTATCGTCGATTGGTAGCTGAATTTGGTTGTATGAGGATTAAAGATGAACTAGGATCGATGTTACATCCACTACAGTTTGGTTTCGGTACTGCAGGTGGATGTTAAGCTGTTGCTCATGCTACAGATATATTAATCTTCATCCAAATCCCGATTCAAAAATTTTCCTGAAAATAGACTTCAAAAATGCCTTCAACATGATTGATAGAAACATATGCTTGGTAAGGTTAAAGATTCGTTTCCCGGATTATATCCCCTCTTAAGTCAGTGTTATAAATCAGCTTCCTATTTAAGTTTTGGTGAACATCTGATTCTGTCTGAGAGAGGTGTTCAACAAGGTGATCCCTTAGGACCTGCTCTTTTTTGTCTGACCATCAACAAACTCACTAGAAGCTTATCATCCGAATTCAATTGTTATTATTTGAACGATGGCTCAATCGCTGGCGTTGAAAACATTGTTTCAAAGGATTTAGAAAAAATCATTGATTATTCAAAACATCTTGGACTTGAACTGAATTTTGAAAAATGCGAGTTGATTACTCTTTCAACTCCGAATAATATTTCCGAATTCATCATTTTGAAATTGGCTCCTGGTAAAAGAATTTTCGAAAAGTCTAAATGGAGTCTTCTGGGTAAAGGTTCACTATCAGGACATTTTCGAGAAAAACGGAAATCACTCAAATTGCTGACCACCAGATTGAATGAACTTCCTAAACACGTTGCATTTTTAATTTCGAAAAATTGTTTGAAGATTCAAAAACTCATGAAATCTACAAGTGTATACGTTAAGGCTCGTCTGAAAACAGCAATCAAGGAAGCGGGTGCTTGGCTGAATGATTTGCCTGTTGCATCTCTTGGGAACACTATCAGACGGTGAATCTTTCAGAATAGCAGTAGGACCTAGGATGGGTGCCTCTATTTGTGCTTCATACTTGTGTTTGCGGTATTATAATTGATGAGAAAGGTACACATGGTTTGAAATGCAGAAGAAGTACAAGGCGTACATCTCGACATCACCAAGAGAATGACATATTGAAACGAGCTATGTTGTCAGCGGATGTTTCTGCAATTCTGAAACTCTTAGGTACCAGTCGAGGTGATGGTAAGCGACCAGATGATATGTCATTCATACCATGGAAATATGGTAAACATGTGGTATGGGACGTCACGTGCGTTGACACGGTCGCGGCTTCCCATCTAGCTGGAAGTTCCAAGTCTGCTGGAACCGCAGCATCGTCTGGCGAAAAATTGAAAAGAAAAAAATACCAAATTCTTGGTAACAACTATCTAGTCCATCCAGTAGCGGTGGAAACTTTTGGTGTTTATGGCCAGGAGTCTCTGTTATTCGTTCATGAACTCAGAAGGAGAAGAGGCCAAGCAACGAAAGATCACCGTTCTACCTCTTTTTTGATAGAAAAAATTAGTATTGGTGGTAATGCTGTTCTATGTTCATTTGATGCAATGATTGTTCAAAATGCTACTTATAGTACAATTCAATAAATATTATCTTAAATGGCTTCGGGACATCCCCAAAAGGACGACAAGATGTTGCTGGAACAGTCACAGTGATATTCGTAAAGCTTATTTTCAGGAATATTTTCAGCTGATTGCATCGATATAAAAACTGAATATCAATTATCAAATTAAATGAATTTCTTCAGAATAACAACAAATTCCAGCATAAATATTCGTTTGAAAGTACAATGTTCAAATATACGAACAAAATACATAAATGACGCGTTCTTTTCGATTTCTTCAAAATTCAAAATAACATTTCCATTCGAATTTGAAATGTCTCGTTATAGGAATGAGTTTTGATTACGATCCTGAGATTTCTTGATATAATATATGAATTATTGTATTTGAAGGAGAGTTTACAATGAAGGGCGGTTGTCTTATTATCGTGAGGTTATGTGAATCAGTAAAATGTGGCAACTCGTTTTTCTTTTCAATCTCTTGTATCTGATCATTGTATTAGTGAATTCTATTAGATTTACATATTCATTTGAGTTGTCTCAGTTGTCTAGTTATTGCCATAATCATAATATCGAATTGAAGCTGTGGATTCCTGTGGAAGCATTGATGCAAAGTTCCAATAATTAGTTACAATCATGTACATAATATTTCATAAATGTACATGATATTTTACAGAAATAATCCAAAACTTGATTTGAAGAATATATTTTTCATGTCAAATGAGCACTCTTCACTTTCTAATTATGAAATTATGATTCAAACACAATTTCATCATAATATATTTGAAGTACCAAACTCTGCATAGATGTAGTTTTTTATTCATAACATAGAAAATTTTGTTCAATAGTTCAACATAGACATACAAACAAACGATTTTTCAAACTGAATCACATAACAGCTGTCAGTGTCAACTGTTTTATCATCTCTCTCTCTCTCTCTCTCTCTAAAGCGAAACATAAGTGGAACCACCTATTGGTGTGACACCCAAGTCAACTTGCCAAGTTTTTTATGTCAGTGTTGGTGGTTTGACCAATCAACCGAATACAGAACGATTTAAAGATAACACCGAGTGTTTTTACGGAAGGCAACAAAATGCTCGCGCTGGAACGGATTGAACAGGTAAGGTATATATCGAAATAATTAGGTCTCAAAGTAGGCAACCATCAGTCCGGGCATGATGAGATGTAAGTTGCATAGCTAACCCTCCCTTTTACCCTATAAGGGCCTTCAAAGAGTATTAAGAATTTCTTAGTTTCCTGTTTCAACACCGATGAGGTGGAGTTAGCCTTCAGGAGAACTAATTCGTCGGGCTCAAATGATACATAGGGCCTACCAGGATTGAGTAAGGAACTCCTGGCCAATTTTCAATTCAAAGACTTCCTTGCGAGGTACACGTTTACATGATTACGTCCGACATCGAGAGCACCTGGAAAATCTATCAATTCACGGACTGACACTAATGAGGATTTTGTCATTTAATTAACATATTTGATTTTTGGGTTTTCTCATTGAGTTACTTACAGAACAGCAGATGTCTCTGATCACACTTGCACCAGAATAGTTCCCTTTTTGTTCTATAGTTTTATCATCCCGTGTTAGGAATCACACGTTAAAAGGTAAGACCTCGGTAATCCTTAGCTCGCACAAGTTTCGACTTCTGAGGGTTGTCGTTCGTAGGGGTGCGACAGCTGGTTAACGGAAAAACAGACAGATCATCTACAAACAAACGCATCTTTCAAACTGAATTACATGACAGCTGTCAATTGTTTTGTGTCTCTGTGTTTGTTCTTAAACCACATGGATTTTACCGGTAATCCATAATTTTAAAACAAATAACTATTTTTAGTAAATTTTGATTCATTTTTCTACTTTGTATCCAGTGAGGAGTCGACATCTTTTAAAGTAGTGATTTGCTTTATTGTATTGACATGTTTCAATTGTTCAAATGTAACATTCTTTTCGACACGGCCAACCTTACTAACAGTAAATTGTGACCTTTCATATTAAGTTTTATATTGTATCACCATTATACCCGTTCACCTTTGATACAATCACGACGTGTGGGCAAGACCGTTTCTGTGTTTATATATCTATATGATGAAAATGTGAATGGTGAAGGATACTGAAACATACTAGAAAATGCTGTGATAGATGCAGTGAATAATTCATCGAATGAAGATGCGGAAAATATCTGAAATTCATAAAAAAAGGTATCGAAATCTAATATTTTGAAAAAGTCCAAAATCCGAATACAAAATTCAGTCAAACACAAAGAGCGACTCTACAGTTCGGGTTCTCCTCGTAAATAAATCTCGCCTATCTGAATGATGAATATATTTATTTCCAACAACGAGACAAATTTCAATATTGATCTGATTTTCAGAATGATCCTAAATTATAGGTCGCATTTGGACCAGCAAGCAGTATATCATCAGTAACATTGAACAAGATTCGAGTAGCTCCACTAGCTCTCAAAATCTTTCAGTGTTTATTCATTGTAAATTATATTTCATTTTTTCTTACAAAATTATAAGGTCGTTAAAAAAAGTTTTACCCCATATACATCTAGTTTTATAGGTATCAAATATTTTCATAAATAATAGAGGATTCAGATATAGTATATTATTAAAAAAACTTTTTAATTA